TGGTAACGAAACTTATACTAAACTTTGTTAAATTTGTGTAGGAACTATAATGGAGAAGTTAGAGAAAAGCAAAATGGATATTCAGATAAAGAGATGAATGAGTTTGAGTTTTTTTTGGGGTTGTGTAAGATTCAAAACTCAAAACTTGTCTCTTTGAAACTTGAACAAAAAAATGTGTTTTTCTCTTGTTTTTTTTTTTTTGAATTTTCTTTTACCTTTTTTTGGGGGTTGTTTGGGATAAAGTGGAAAGTGTCGGGAAATATGTGTAAAATCTGGAAAGAAAGGAGGAAAATTTTGGAACTTTGTATAAACTATGGGGTCTATAAAGTAATCATTTTTGTCACTTGTCAATTTTTTTAATTATTTTGTTTTTCTTTAAATGGAGGGAATATAGAGTACTTTAGTTGTTTATAATTTAACTTTTGCTTTAGTTTTTGAAAATGATGTTTTTTTTTTCATTTTTAATCATTATTGTCTAGCATAATCATTGGACATAGAATTATGCTTTGTATGGAAGCTCCATTTTATACCAAACAGGCGAACACAGCTGTTTAACCTAAAAGAAAACATAATTTGGATAGGAACAACTTTAAAATCAGGTAGATGTTTTGGGTATATATAACTATTTCCTTCCTATCAAAATATAAATGATGTTTAACATCTTATAATTTTCACACAAATATTATAATTTTGTTAAAACATATTTTTTTTTCTAAATAGCTAGCTAAACAGAATTCAAACACACGATAATTCAAAGGACATAATCCAAATGGTCATAAGAAAAATGGAGATACAAATTTTAAACATTTTTATTTTCTCTCTAAAATATCAGTTATTTTGATACCAAATAAATGTATTGTAGCATATTTTAAATATTTGTTTACAAAAATGCACACATACGCATATATCATAACTTTGATACTAGGATACTAAAGCACGAACTGCACATATTCATTTTTTTGGATTCATTATATGAAATTTTGGATCTTTTTCGTTTTTATTCCTCTTACTTCAATAGATTTCTATTAATACAAGTTGGATTGTAATAATATGTTAGTTATTTGCAATTTTTATGAACTTCTTTAAAAAATTTGGTATTGAAAGTCAAATAATTGTATCTTTCGTTAAATTTCTTGATTCAACATCACCAAATTCTTTTTTGACTATATGGTTATGTCACTAGCTGATTCTAGAATTTGTATAATTTTAAAATTCTTAGATGATAGAATGGTAGTTGAAATTAGATAACCTAATATTTTTTCTTATCAAACAAACTTTAAGGCTCCCCAATATATAGGATGCATATTTACAAAGGAAAGAATGCCAAATATTGTATAAGATAATCAAAGATAAACTATAATTGTATAAGATAATCAAGATAAACAAATATTGTATAAGATAATCAAAGATAAACAAACAATAAACTCGAGAATGTGTGTGTTTAGAGGTCTTTTTCAAAATGATTATGTTACCTTGTGAGTCGTGACTGAGGCGAATCGTCTTGCTACAAATGAAGAATAACGAAAACTTTGATACTAATTACTAATGAAAGAAGATTAGAATTTTTAAAAAAATGAGATTATAGATGACTAATGGGTCAAGTGGAGCAAATTTCGTGGGGTTGAAGATTTCAAGATCTTGCTTCGATTAACACTTTGCTTTGAATAGAAAATTTGAACACTTGAAGATTTGATTAGTGCATGAACAAACAATAGATAGGTGTGACTTGTAAGTAAATAGGATACATATGTCAAATGATTTTAAACGGGATTATATTTAAATTAGATGATGTCTCATGGTATTATATGTTTTGTTTTTTTGTCAAGTATTATATGTTTGAAAGTCTTATAATAATATACAATATCTTTTTTGCTTAGGTGATTAAGGTTTTTGGTTCTTTTTGATTTATCTTTAATAATAATTAAAGTATATGGAATTTAGTAATTGTTATAGTTATGTAACATAAAATATACGTATAGATCATTATTATTTTATGATAATTATTGTATATATCAAATTTTAAATTAAATTATTTTATACATTATATATTATATCAAAGATTAATTATTCAAATATATATTTATGAAAAATGTATTACTGTAATATATTTTTTAAAAATAATTTTATTTTAGCAAATAAGTTTTTATGAAAATAATTTTTGTTTTTTTATTAACAGTTTAAAACATTAGACGATAATTTTTTTTGCAAAGAAAATAAGTTTTATTAATAATAACACATTAGAATTTTTTTATTTATTAAGTATAATTGTTTTAGTTTTTTTTTAATATGTTTCTATGTATTTGACTATTTGGTATGATCGAGGCTCGTTTTTATGTAATGGTGTCTGTGTGACACAGTGTTTACCCAACTCCTCTCTCCTTGGTTCATCTCTGTATGATCAATTTGTAGCTAGCGATCCTCAAATCGGATCAATTTGTTTTCACTCTGAGGGATTTGATCGGAGATTTCGATGGGAGATCGTCCGTTAGGGCTTTGGGCGATTGGAATTTTGCTCGTCGGAAGCTTGATCGGAGCTGCGAATGGTTCGATTCATGAGTATAAGAACGAAAAGTTCACTGTAAAACTTAATGCCCGCTTCTTCCATGGCGGTAGCGAAGGTCTTTACGCTTCCAAGTTTCAAGATCTAAATACTTCCTCTTCCTCTTCTGATAACCCTTTTAAAGGCAAGTCCTTTATAAGGTCAGTCTCACTCCTTTATCAATCAGCTTCACTGGATTTAGGGGTTTTGAGTAGAGACAAGCTTCGCGTTATAGAATTCTAAGTTTGTGCATTTGGTATTGTACTGATTGTATATGTTTATTCTTGGGTTTGATTGGTCTTTACCTCTCGATGTAGCTTCACAATAGTATCATTAGAGCATCACGAGACTACATGAGTTATTAGCTTTGAAAAAAACTCTACTTGGAGAAGGAGGAACCTTAGAATTGGAAGATTACCTAATGTTGTCTAGGCAATATGTTTTCTTTTTTTCAGGTTTGATGATGTGACCTTTGTGCGGACAAAGGAATCTGCTAGCAAACAGAATGCAATGCAGTCAACTGCAGGATTGGTCGAAGCTATAATACTTGAGGTGAAAGATCGTGATAGGATTGGGGGAGCTTTTCTTAAGTCTGATGCAATTTGTTGTACGCCAGAGCTTGCTGATGCTGGATCTTGTAGTCTAGGGGAAGTTATTATTAACAGAGGTTCTAATGATCTTGAGTGGCCAAGACAGATCAAGACTTTCTTTAAAGGGAATAAGACAGAAGTTAACATGTCCCCTGAAACTGTGTTTATCAATAAGACTGGGATGTACTATCTTTATTTCATGATATGTGACCCGGAATTGGATGGCACTAAAATCAGAGGAAGAACAGTGTGGAAGAACCCTGATGGCTATTTACCGGGAAAGGTGGCTCCTTTAATGAAAGTTTTTGGCTTCATGTCGTTAGCTTATCTTTTGCTTGGCCTAGTTTGGTTTGTGCGGTTTGTTCAGTTTTGGAAGGATATAATTCAGCTGCACTATCATATCACTTTGGTTATTGCTCTTGGCATGTGTGAAATGGCTGTTCGATACTTTGAATATGCTAATTTCAACTCGACTGGGATGAGGCCTATGGACGTTACTCTGTGGGCAGTGACTTTTTCATCCATCAAAAAGACGCTTTCCAGGCTTCTTCTTCTGGTTGTCTCTATGGGTTATGGGGTCGTAAAGCCTACCCTCGGTGGCATAACCTCGAGGGTACTTCTTCTTGGAGTCATATATTTTGTTGCAACAGAGGCTCTTGAGTTGGTTGAGCATTTAGGAAACATCAATGACTTTTCAGGAAAAACAATGATATTTTTGGTGATTCCCGTGGCATTACTGGATGCTTGCTTTATTCTGTGGATTTTCTCATCATTGGCAAGAACCCTTGAGAAACTTCAGGTAAGATACAACACTTGTATCAAATTGATTTCTTTATTCATCATTAGATACGACTATTGTATATTCATGATCTATCACATTATTATATCCGAAGGATTTATATATACCATAGGGCATAGGCTTTCAAGGGTTTGAACCTTGGCTGCTCATATACAGTAGCTTTTTAAGCCATCTACAACGTTCCAGTTCTTCTTACCTTATATTCACTGCAGATTAAGAGAAACATGGCCAAGCTTGAGCTTTATAGGAACTTCACCAATGCACTTGCTATCGCTGTTCTGCTCTCAATTGCTTGGATTGGCTTCGAGGTAACAAATCGCTACGCTAGTGACCGTCTCTCCTTTATTACTTGAGAGTTGAAACCCCAAGTCAGAAGAGTGTAACTGAAATCACATTCTTCTCTGTCTCTGTATCAGCTATACTTCAACGGAACAGACCCTCTAATTGAACTCTGGCGAATGGCGTGGATCATTCCAGCTTTTTGGAACTTACTCTCTTATGGTCTGTTAGCTGTCATATGCATCCTTTGGGCTCCATCCAATAATCCTACAAGGTTCTAATACTTGCCATTAGCATTTACTCAAATGTTTTGGACTTTGATGGTCCCAATGGGTCAACTACCAAAGATGCCAAGATTCAAGACTCTTGTGTGGTTTTCACCAAGAGGATATCATTTTGCACTCAGCTTATCTGTAATTGGTTTAAACCTTGCAGGTACTCATACTTAGCGGAAACAGGGGACGAGTTTGAAGAGGAAGGGATCTCATTGACAGGTAGCGGAAATAAAAGTACAGAAGATGTTGAAAGGAATGAACTTCTATTTGGGCTTCCAGACGACGTTGAAGAGGGCAAACGCGAGTAAGATTCAGGTAGCAAGCATTAGATAGTCTATACCTTGCCGAATAGTCTTTAGTGTATGTCTTGCATTCCGGTATGTAACCTTATGTAAATCTTTTATCCTTGTACCTGAGTAAGTTTTTATTTTCTAGTCTTATCAGTCACTTGTTTATGGTTAAAAGTTTTACTGAGGAGCTTCTGCTATATAAAGAGTTACATACTGCTTATTTTCAGAGCGTCAATGGAACTTTTTTACATTAGAGACTTGAGATATTTTTCTAGACCGGGAAGTCGTTGCTCATCATCATAGCTGTACATTGAAGGAACTGTTCTTGCAATGTTGAGACAAGCTTTTGAGAATGATTTCGAGAATGGACTTGGATTCAGACACTCCCTGTTCAAACATTTCCATGCTTTAGATATCTTGTGGAAAACATGTGTTCTTGCTTCATCAACAGTTGATCCCTTGTACTCGTTCAGGTAACACTCTATGTATGATCCATCAGCTCCATCTTGGTTCTCATCCTGTTATAACATACAAAACAATCTCTTAGATTTAAGTTTCAGATTCTCTTCAGTCCATTAGTATCACTAGTTCAGTATAACCTTGGCACTTCCGAGATCATCCCAGAGCCTGAGAATTGTAGCTGCAGCCGATACAATACTTGGGTTGCTCTCAATTAGTTCGACTTTCTCTCTTGTGAGTTCTTCGCCCAACAAGAAGTAGACATGAAGCATCACTAAATGAACACCTGAACTCACAACCCCATTCTTCATATACTCTTCAGTATTTGGCAAGTAACCCGAACTAAACCACTTTGCTTCTATCAAGAATGACATACACAAACTTGTCCACTGAGAAACAAAGACATCGTCTTGTTAATAGGGTTTGAACCAAGTGAGCTATATGATACAAAAAGTCTATATACATGACGACGTTCTGAATGATGATTACCGATTTTCGAAGAGAGTTTGTTGGGTTCCAACCATGTAATTTGTAGATCTTCATGCTAATCTCCGTAGTGATCATATCTAGAGCTTCAAAGCAAACCCTCATGTATCTCGGCAGCGTCTCAAGCCCCTTATGATCCCATCTAGACAAATATTTTCATCTTCATTGACATAATTTAAATAATTAATGATTTGAATCAAGAGACAACTTATCGACTAGTTTATATGTACCTCTCAACAACTTGTGTGAAGATGATTAATTCTTCTAGTTCCCCATACACATCAAAAATATCATCTATAACATAAACAAGCGATATTGGTTTGGTAAGATCAAGCCTTTGTTCAGTTAAGGTCGGATCTTGAAGAATCTCCATGGACCATGTGTGCCACTTTAACGGCTGGCTTCTTGCCTTGTCCAGCTCTTTATGTAAGCCAAGTTCTGCCCACCATCTGAAAAATCAAAATCACAGAACATTAACATCAAATTCAATTATTTTTTACAAAAAAAAATTAATATTGACCTACAAGGTGCAACGTTCTTGATTTTACTTGGATGTTTGAGACATTTCTTCTCGAGTCAATGACTTAAGGATACTGGAGTCGATCTCAGCCACTCGTAATAGAGATTGTAACCACTCTTGATCTTCTTGATCCGCGGGTTTTATCATGCTTATGAACCTCTTGGACGTCAATCTTGTTAAGGTTTTGTGGCGAGGTTGCACCAAAGACTTCATTATCTCTCGCTTTTGATGACTTACTCTACCTGAGCATAGTTCACCAAGGCAGCTAAAGGTGAATTCTCTTACGCCATCGAGTGTTTCTTCTCCTTCTACACCGAGCTCGGAAGCTTCATACAATTCTATAAGTCCCTTGACGTAAATTTTTATGTCATTTTTGAATCCACCTTTCTTGTCTAGGATGTTTTCAAAAATACCTAAATGTCTCGTAAGAATTGTAACCGTAAACACGACACACATATCATATGCGTAATGTAATAACTATATATATGGTCAGTACGTCACATACTTTCTTGCACATAGTGACCCTCTTGTCTCAGCAATCGAAAGCAAAGCGCGACCTCGTGGAGATCATACATGTTGAATTTCGTGCATTCCTTGTAAATAATGTGAAGCGTTTGCTCGATCTCTCGTTTAAAATGGAGATCAATTCCTAAAACTTGAATGGCATCAATCATATCCAGGTTCGCCGATGGGACATCATCTATGTTTGCAATTAGTATGTTCTTGATCTTCTTGATATTGAATTCGTGTGAATATTCCTACGTATAAGAACAAACACATCCTTAGTTTTGGAAATGGTGTGATTACAAAGCAATACAAATCAAACAGAATGAGTATATACTATGGATGTCTTAGTATCAAACTGCTTTGAAGGGCTAGAAACTGAAGCATAAGGATTGCTCGAGACCGATCTTTTAGTAACATATGTAGGCGACAAAGAAGCAACCGCATTGGGAAATTTCGAAATCCGAAATGTTGGAGGATGGGTTGGATAAGTAGAAACGAAACAAGAAAGTAAACTTATTTTGGTAGCTATTAAGGCCATGATTATATGAACTTAAGCTAATGAGGATGGTGTTAAACTTCAAACAATCGAATCCTCTATATATAAATGACTTATGGATTATAAAGAAGTGGTGGATGTAGGAAATAGGGGCCATAACTAAAATAGTCATCAACTCTGTTTTTATACAATTTTTTATCATGAATCACGAGTTATTTAAGAATCTTTGTACTATGATGTATAGCAAAAATAAAAATCTCCTTTGGAAAATGACCTGGTCGGAATCTTGCACTTGAGCCACATATTTCTATACACAAACAAATCAGTAACTTTCGCTTTCGAAAGTAACCGATATTTTCTAATTATGAAATTGATGATGATAGTGATGATCATAGTTATGGAATATACTAAGGAACTCATACATCCCTTAAACATGTTATATGGTCTCGTCCCAAGCACTACTCGAACCGGCGACCCCTAAGCTTTTACCAGAGATCTTTACCAATTGAGCTATTAACACTTGGTAAAAAGAACGTTTTTTTGCCACTATATAAATATAAGGCCTTATAACAGGACCACCAAAGCAAACGTCAAGTACCAGCTTCAAAATGACATGTTTTGGGTCAGTTGATCATAGCCTTAAACGTCAGAATCATACTCATATGGTTAGCACTGGTTTAGTCACAACTAAGTTGAAACAAATGGAAAGGGGCAAAGGGTTTAGTGACCAATCATTTTCATCTTCTAGATATGTAGGAACAAATGAAGTATGGTTCTTGAATACCATCTGTTTGTTTTGTCGGTTTCTCACATTTTCCAGGAATCCAAGGGATAATTTGAGAATTCAAGAACTCAATTTGAATTGAACAAATGAATTGGAGACCAAATAAACCAATTATGTTATATTGAGAACGATTTATTTGGATTTGTCACCAATACAAAAGTGAAAAACATATTTCAGTTTATGAGTGAACTTATACGGTATTTTGTAAATACTTGTTTTAACGTTGATCATCACCATGCATCATTGAATAAAACACGTAATACAATAGTGATAAAAAATAATATGAGAACTGTAGATTTTATTATTCACGTGATACGTTTACGTTTTGGTAGTGATTATTTCACCTCAGACGCATTCATATTTTTATGATAACAACAACATTTCTTTCCATTACACTGAGCAAAAGCATAATGAGCTTCTTTACAATACACAATGCAACCAATTGCATATTGGCCTGGTGCATAACACGCTGGTGTTTCAAAGCAATATCCAAATTTCGCCGGTTCTTGACCTATTTGTTAGAAAAAATCAGTACACCAATATGCATATATATTCATTTGCAAAGGACAAAATCATGTTCATAATTTTAAAAATTGGGGTATAAGAATACAGCAATGTATATGAAAATGGAAAAAATAATGAAATTTTTATCTTCAAGTGAATTAGTATAATTTAACAAAGGTCATTTTAAAATGTTTGGCTCAAAATTACAAAATAGTTAGTATAATTTACCTTTGGGTTCGGGTTCGTTTTTATCTGGGGCAGTACTGGCAATTGTTGTATGACAATGAACATAAGATATGATAAAAATGACACTGAAAACAAATGTGATTAGAGTTTTTGTGGTGGAAGCCATTTTTTTTGTTCTTTGTGTCAATGAGTTCTTATTTACTTAGATTGATAATATATAATAAAACAATATATATGTAAATGGTATATTTCCTGGTCAAAGCTGTAAACAACTTATGATACACATAATAGATTTATAGTCAAAAGATATTAACCTATTATGTTCGATTTGTTTCTTTATATAACTGTAGTCAAAAGAAAATACATAGAATGGTTTTTTAATTTGACTATGCTTGAACATTGGTAACATGATATTATTGATTTATACATGATTGTATATTTATATTACAATTTGTAAATTTCAATTAATAATAGCGGTAGAACATAATAATAAAGTAGATTATGAGTATATACTGAAGATTATTTACCCATATAGCATATGTAAACGTAGTAGACCATCCAACATTATGAGTTATGTTGTATTTCGAATTTTTATTATAGATTTTGTTGAAATGCATAATAAATATATAAAAATATCTCAGAGGTGTACACTTACATTTGATTGGATTATTTCATTTTTATTTATTATAACAACAACATAAATCTTTGATGATGCAATTACCATCAGTATAATGGGCTCTATGACAAAACACAGGGCAACCTAAGGTAAGACATGCTGCTGTTCGGAAGCAATACCCATTCTTTGGAATTCCATGACCTACTGTATTTATTTATAAAAAATGGGTTATAAGAACTCATCATTATATATATAATATCAAATATATATTAATGGAATTTATCCAAAAATAATATATATAATGGAAATATGATTCTTTTGTCTGAATTGTTTGCTCATTTTGTATTAAATGTTATAATTTTCAATAAAGAAATAAGAAAGGAAACAAAGAATGAAAATGGTACCTTTAAGTGGAACTAGAGTCAAAGAGGAATTAACAGAAAATTAATAACGTTGGCCATTTTAAAATTTTGGGTCAAAATTACTACAGAAAACCTCTATAAATTAATAATGTTAAGCATACGATATTTTATTAATTGATAATCTAATAATTATTTAATTTATAGCTAAATTTTCATAATTTTGTATTATTCTAGAAAAATCAAGTTTAAAATAAGTATGAAAGCAATTATCATGTCTAAAAGATAACACACATTTTTTTAGATGCAGTAATAAAAATGAATTCTAATAATAATTAATGCAAATTTAAGTAAACAATAAATAATGATGAGAATATTTCTCAAAACTTTCTTACATTTAATATATATATATATATATATATATATATATATTAATAAGTTTATACAGCTATTAATTTATAGTACTGATGAGAAAATATATTTTGATGTTACTATCATCTTATTACTTTTGATTAAATTATATCAGATATTACACTATCCAACTTAGGACTTGAGAAATGTATAACTTTATAGAGATTTTACTGTAAAATGGTTTATATATTTTACCTATTTGATATGCTGATTCAGGTCCGCTAGCAGTTATTGTATCACAATGAACACAAGATATGATGAAAAATAAAGTGAAAACATAAGCGATTAACGTTTTCATGGTGATTGCCATTTTTTATATATTCTTGTTTTGCTTTGTTAATGAGCTCTTCTTTACTTGTGTTGATTTTATATAATAGCACAAATATCCATAAATGGTATTTTTCTGGTCAAAGTTGGAGAAAAATATGATCTTTCAATATATTTACTTTTATAGATTTATAGTCAAAATTCAGTAATGCATTTTTTTATGTAAACATATTCAAAAATGCATTAATTTGTTTTCCCCTAATTAAGTTTGAACACTGGTAATATGATATTTGTCGTTTCATTTATTTATTTAAAAATTTGTATTCTTATTTTGTTGTGTCAAAGTGACACTCTTTTTGAAACAGATGGGGTGACAAACTTATACATAAATGTTACTTTTCCTGGTCAAAGTTATAATAACTAATGATCCAAAATCTTTCCATTTTTTAAAGATTTCTAGTCAAAAGAAAATAACTTGTTTTTCAATTTATTTATATATTGTTAATTGTAGTCAAAAGAAAATTCATTGAATATTTTCTGTCTAAATTTTTTTTGGTAATGCAATATTTTCTGTCTAATTATGTTTGAATACTGTTAATACTATATTTATTGCTTTGCATAGTTAAATATCTATCTTGTTGGATATTTATCTTTTTATACTTTGTATCAGTGATTGGTTGGGTGTTTGAAAAACCTAATGCAATCTCTTGAAGGATGGTCAACTTCTCCAATTTTCATAATGCGATTTGTTTGCTAATGTTTTACTAATTTCGTTTCTCGCTTGCTCGTATTTCTCGAACTTGTAATCTTCAAGTTATTTATTGAAACTCTTTGGTTTATATCTTGAACTTGTAATGTTGTTGTTGGCAAAAAAATAACATAAAAAAAAACATAAAAACATAAAAAAAACAAACAATACAATGTTGTTGTTGGCGAAATATATGAGCATATATTGAAACACAAGGAATTTACCAAATAAATTAAACCATATATTTGTATTGGATAATCTAATATTCATTGTGTTGTATTTCGATTTTTCATTTTATAGATTATATATGTTGAAATCCAATACACAAAAAATGATCTCTCAGGTAGATAAACTTACATCTTATTATAACAACAACATACTTCTTTGACGCAACTACCATTAGAATATTTCGCTAGATTCTTTTAAAATCTATTAATTAAAACAACAACATAAATCTTTGATGACGCAATTACCATCAGCATAATGGGCTTTTTGACAAAACACTTTGCAACCTAAGCTCCCCCATGAGGTAAGACATGCTGTTGTTCGGAAGCAATACCCATTCTTTGGAATTCCATGAATCACTGTATTTGTTTATAAAAAAATGGGTTAAAAGTATACACCAATAAATATACAATATTAAATATATAATTATGGAAATATGATTCTTTTGTCTAATTTGTTTGCTAATTTTGTATTAAATGTTATAACTGTCGATAAAGATAAATAAGAAAGGAAACAAAGAATGACAATTGTATCTTTATGTGAAACTAGCTAGAGTGAAAGAGGAATGAACAGAAAATTAATTACGTTGCTCATTTTAAAAAGTTTGGGTCAAATTTACTACATCAAAACCTCTATAGATTTATAATGTTGAGCATAAGATATATTATTAATTCATAGAAGTATTAATTAATTGATAATCTAATAATTATTAATTTATAGCTAGATTTTCCTAATTTTTTATTATTCATGAAGAATCAACTTTAAAATAAGTATGAAAGCAATTATCATGTCTAAAAGATAACACATATTTTTTTAGGTGCAGTATTAATATCAAAAATGAATTTCAATCAGAATTAATGCAAATTTAAGGGAAAAACAAAACAAATAATGCATGAGTCATATTTCTCAAAATTTTCTTATATATATTAATAAATTTACACATGTATCTATTTATAGTACTGATGAGAAAATATATTTTGATGCTTTTTTACAAAAAAATATTATTTTATAACCTTTAAATTAAATTATACCAACTATTACACTACGCAACTTAGGACATGAGAAAGATATTAATTTATAGAGATTTCAATGTAAAATGGTTTATATTTTTACCTGTCGGATATGCAGGTCTCCTAGCAGTTATTGTATTACAGTGAACATAAGATATGATGAAAAACATAGTGAAAACATAAGCGATTAACGTTTTTTTGGTGGTAGCCATTTTTTATATATTCTTGTTTTGCTGTTAGTGAGCTCTCCTTTACTTAAGTTGATTTTATATAATAAGAAAAATATACATAAATGGTATTTTTCTGGTCAAAGTTGGAAAATAATATGATCTTTCATTATATTTATTTTTATAGATTTATAGTCAAAATTCAATAAATGCATTTCTTTATGGAAAAATATTCAAAAATACATTAACTTTTCCCCTATTTATGTTTGAACACCGGTACCAGGATATTTTTTTTATTTCTTTATTTAAAATTTTGTATTTTGATTAGGAAATATCGAGGATATCATATATATACCTTAATTAGGTACGAACCCGCGCTACAGCGCAAAAAGAAAGTCTCGGGTTAAATGGTGCTATTAAATAGGTGTTTAAGTAGTTTTTGAAAGAGGGTACGTGTTAAAAATAGAAAGGGTTTGAGAAAAATTAAAAAATATATTGTATTATATAGAGTATATACGTGTGTCTACAAAAAAAAGTTTTTACGTATCTAAAGTAACAAATGCATTGTTATATTTATACTACTATTTGTTTTTTAAGTTAACAGCGCTACAGATACGCTATAGCACAGGAAATTATTTACGTATAAATTATAACATATTTATTTTTATTTAATTGCAATGTAGTCGATTACGTTGAATCATATATTTATAATTTATGTAATGAGTTTGGATAAAATAGTAGAAGGAATCATCGAGTAAATGATAATGTAATGCGTTTTGCTACAATAAAAGAAATATATATATATATATATATATATTTTAACAGTGTGAAGAAATATTTTTCAAGATATAATATAATTTGCCTATTTTTTGTAGTAAAAGTGGGAATATACGTAAAAAAAATTAAAAAATTTGCATACAAAAAATTGTATACTTAGAATATTGTTTTTGACGGATCAACCCGAAACAGTTGCATTCTTAAAAATATTATTCATAACACACTTCACTATATAATCGTGAGTTTAACAAAATAACCCGTAACTTACATAGTTTGATACATAATTTATTGGTAAAATTTATTTATTGATAAATTGATTTAATCAATATTTAAATAGTATATTTTATTAATAGGACATTGTATAAACCCTCGAAAATTTTGATTTAGTCATCTAATTTAGGACCCGTAATTCATTAAAAGTAAATAATTTTTCTGTATAAATTTAAAATTATATTTATGTAAGATATGGTATTACAAAGTATATGGTTGTAAAACTTAAGTGGTGTACATCATGTTCTGACACGTTGCAAAATTATCAATTGATTTAATATATGTTCTGACCCGTTGCAAAATTATCAACTATTTTATATATTTATAATATTGAAATCATTTAAAAGATTTACTATTGATAGTAATATGACCCTTTTAAAAGTCTTAATATTTATAGTATTCTAAGCTTTTAAAATTTTTACAAATATTAAAAATATAATATTTTGAAGCTTTAATAAATCTTAAAATTTTTTAACTTTTAATATTTTAAACATTTAAACTTTTAACTATTATAATATTTTTAAGATTTTTAAAAAATTTAATTTACTCAAACTTAAAACTGGATTATAGTAAATACAACTTTTAAATTTGGATGCATGTTAAATCAAGCTTACATTTGTAGTTTGAGGCTCATTATATGAATATTTTCTAAAAACATTTATTATTTTTCTTTCATCTTTCTGTGATCTTATTTTTGATTTATTATATTACAATACATAATATATTTGGTTTTGTCAATTGAGTAATATAAGTCTGTTTTTGAAAATTTTAAATTATAACATATGTAAAAGAAGTATGTTCTACAATTTATGATACACATAATCTTTCAATTAATTTTGTTATAGATTTATAGTCAAAAGATATTAACTTATTCTGTTCGATTTGTTGCTGTATATAATTGTAGTCAAACAAAAATACATAGAATGGTTTTTTAATTTGACTATGCTTGAACACTGGTAACATTATATTATTGTTTTATACATGATTGTATAATTATATTACAATTTGTAAATTTCAATTAACAATAGCGGTAGAACATAAAAATAAAGTAGATTATGAGTATATACTGAAGATTATTTACCCATATAGCATATGTAAAAGTAGTAAACCATCCAACATTATGAGTTATGTTGTATTCAAATTTTTTTATTATAGATTTTGTTGAAATGCAAAATAAAAAAAGAAAAATATCTCTGATGTACACATACATTTGATTGGATTATTTCATTTTTATTTATTATAACAGCAACATAAATCTTTGATGACACAATTACCACTAGAATAATGGGCTCTTAGACAAAACACAGGGCAACCTAAGGTCCCCCATAAGGTAAGACATGCTGGTGTTCGGAAGCAATACCCATTCTTTGAAATTCCATGACCTATTGTATTTATTGATATAAAATATGGGTTATAAGAACTCATCAATATAATTCAATATTAAATATATAATAATGGATTTATCCAAAAATAATATTTAATGGAAATATGATTCTTTGGTATGAATTGTTTGCTCATTTTGTATTAAATGTTATAATTTTCAATAAAGAAATAAGAAAGGAAACAAAGAATGAAAATGGTACCTTTAAGTGGAACTAGAGTCAAAGAGGAATTAACAGAAAATTAATAATGTTGGTTATTTTAAAATTTTGGGTCAAAATTATTACAGAAAACCTCTATAAATTAATAGTGTTAGGCATACGATATTTTATTAATTAATATAATAATTATTTAATTTATAGCTATATTTTCATAATTTTGTATTAATCTAGAAAAATCAAGTGTAAAATAAGTATGAAAGCAATTGTCATGTCTAAAAGATAACGCAAATCTTTTAGATGCAGTGGTAAAAATGAATTCTAATAAGAATTAATGCAAATTTAAGTAATCAGATATTACACTGTCCAACTTAGGACTTGAGAAATGTATTACTTTATAGAGATTTTACTGTAAAATAGTTTATATATTTTACCTATTTGATATGCTGATTCAGGACTGCTAGCAGTTATTGTATCACCGTGAACATAAAATATGATGAAAGATAAAGTGAAAACATAAGCGATTAACGTTTTTATGGTGATTGCCATTTTTTATATATTCTTGTTTTGCTTTGTTAATGAGTTCTTCTTTACTTATGTTGATTATATATATATAATAGCACAAACATCCATAAATGGTATTTTTCTGGTCAAAGTTGGAAAGTAATATGATCTTTCAATATATTTACTTTTATAGATTTATAGTCAAAATTCGTTAATGCATTTCTTTATGGAAACAGATTAAAAAATACATTAATTTGTTTCCCCTAATTACGTTTGAACACAACACATTTACCAAATGGACTGCGTGTAAGATGTGAAAACATATTGGACCGTCTAAATTTCTTCGTCGTGTTGTATTTTGAATTTCAGTTAAGATTTTATTCAATTGCAGAACAAAAAAAAGCTCTCAAAAACTTTAATTCTAATTATACCTTTGATTTGGTAAATTTTATTTATTTTGCTCTACTTCTCATATATATTGGGATTTTGGGAACATATGAAAAAGTGTTGACTTTATTAGTGATACAATTGCATTTGGCTGTGATTATTTCACCTCATATACGCATTATCTTTTTTATAATAACAACAACATTTTTCTCCATAAGAATAATTAAATATTTTACAATACACAATGCAACCAATGCCAAATTAGCCTTCGGCGAAACACTCTGGTGTTCTAAAGCAATGTCCAAACTTCAACTTCAATGACCTTTTTATTAATAAAAATCAGTACATTAATAAGCATATTCTTGTTCGTAAATTTAAAAATGGGCTCATACACCGATGCATATAAAATTAAGTGTATAAAAATGAAACATAGAATTTACCCTTAATTTATAATTAATTAAACCATTAACCATTTATTAAATAAGGGTATATATGTATATTTTAATTTTTTCTTAATTTGTGTGAAATATGTCAAAGTGACACTCTTTGTGAAATAGAAGTAGTAACAAAATTATACATAAATGTTATTTTTTCCTGATCAAAGTTATAATAACTAATGATACAAAATCTTTCCATTTTTTTAAGATTTATAGTCAAAAGAAAATAACATTTTTTCAATTTATTTGTATATTTTTAACTGTAGTCAAAAGAAAATACATATAATTTTTTCTCTCTAATTATGTTTAAATACTGTTAATACTATATTTATTGCATTGCATAGTAAAATATCTATCTTGTTGGATATTTATTGTTTTATACTTTGTATCAGTGATTGGTTGGGTGTTTGAAAAACCTAATGCAATCTCTTGAAGGATGGTCAACTTCTCCAATTTTTATAATGCGATTTGTTTGCTTAATGTTTTATTAATTTCGTTTCTCGCTTGCTCGTATTTCTCGAACTTGTAATCTTCAAGTTATTTATTGAAACTCTTTGGTTTATATCTTGAACTTGTAATGTTGTTGTTGGCAAAAAAATAACATAAAAAAAAACATAAAAACATAAAAAAAACAAACAATACAATGTTGTTGTTGGAGCGAAATATATGAGCATATATTGAATCAAAAGGAATTTACCAAATAAACCATAAATCATTGTGTTGTATTTCGTTTTTTCATTTTATAGATTATGTATGTTGAAATCCAATACACAAAAAATGATCTCTCAGGTAGATAAACTTACATCTTATTATAACAACAACATACTTCTTTGACGCAATTACCATCAGAATATTTCGCTTCACGACAGAACACAAGGCAACCTACGCTCGCCCATTTGGAATAACATGTTGGTGTCTGGAAGCAATACCCTTTATTTGGAACTTCATGACCTATTGTGTTTATTTATAAAAGAAATGGGTTATAAGAATACACTTATATACACAAAATTAAAAATATAATAATTAAAATTAAGTTGATTCTTTTGTCTGATCTGTTTGCTCATTTTGTATTAAAAGTTATAATTATCAATAAATATAAAAAGAAAGGAAACAAAGAACGAAAAAGGATGTAAAAACAAAAATTAACATAGGCATTAAAAACAACTAGTCAAAATTACTATGGTAAAACCTCAATAAATTAATAATCACATGAATAAAATATTTTATTAATTCATAGAGGTACAGTACTAAATCATTGATAAATTGATAAATTAATAATTATGAAATCATAGCTAGACTTGCCAAAACTCACATTCTTTTTAAAAGTATATATATCTAATTTTTTTTGCTATAGTTTATAATCTTCTAAGAATAATTAAATGTAAGAAAGAAATGATCATGTCTATCAGATAACACAAAACATTTCAATGCAATAAAAAAAAATATCACCAATGAAATCTAATAATAATTACTGCAAATTTTATGGAAAAAATCTCTGAAAATTCATAGTTCTGTATTTTTCTTACATATATATATATATATAATATATATATATATATATTGATAATTTTGTACATCTTTTAATTTATAGTGTTGGATCATATTTAACATTATTATTTTATTTTGTATCAAATATTATACTACCTACGACTAGAAAATTTAAAGTTGAGCTGTAAACTTCTGTCTAAAAAATATATTATTTTATAGAGATTTTAATTTACTGCAAAATGGTTGGTATAGTTTACCTATTTGGTATGGAGGGTCGTCGATACTTGGGCTGCTGGCTGTTATTTCATCACAGTTAACATAAGATATGATGAAAATGATAGTGAGAACAAGTGCAGTTAGAGTTTTTATGGTGATAGCCATTTACTCTCAATTTTTTTTTGTTTTGTTAATGAGCTCTCTTTTATTTATGTTGAATATATATAATAACACAAATATACATAAATGGTATTTTTTGCTGGTCAAAGCTAAATAAGATGATTTTTCAATTTATTTGTTATTATATATTCATAGTCAAAATACAATAATACATTTCTTAATAAAGATACCATTATACCTTATTTCAAAATATCATTCTCTTAAAGTCGTTTCAAAGATGCCATTAAATCTTTTGTATTTCTCATGTTTTCTCCAAGTCTTCAAATTCAATTTGGCCAAGAACTCCAACGAAGGTCATAAACATGAATGCTTGGGAATCAAAACGTTTGGCTTTGTTGTTGTGGGAATTTGTAAAAATACTCATTTTTCTATACCCTTTTACAAAAATATATTTCCATATTACCTATTTACTAACCATAAAACTAACCAATTTTATATAATATTTTAATTTAAAAATATACATCATGTTCATTTTGTAAAGTTTAATAGGATGTCAAAATATAAAAATTAAGGTTATTAATCATAAATCTAAACCTATCTATATCATGTAAGAGAATTTATTTATAATATTTGTAACTTATTTTCAGATATTTAATTTCTAAATATAAAATTCAAATTCAAGCTAGAAAATTTATAGTATATACAAGATTAATCTTATCTTCCTTACCAAAAAAAAAAGATTAATCTTATCTTTGTAAAATTGTCTCGATTCATATTTGTATAACATTTAACAATTAAAAATACCACTATAAATGAAATAAATTAATATTCACTACAAATTAATAAAATTTTGTGATACCAACATTAATACTACTGTATGACTCTTTTTCTAAACATGTATAAGATTCTTGTAAACGGATCTTACATGTTTTAAACTCGCGGTTTATATATATATATATATATATATATATATACTCAATAGGCATCATGAGACAATAGTAAGAACTTCAGGCAGCAAGCACTAAGCTAGATAGTTTATATATACTCCAAATTAAAACACATGATAAACATTGTTGATGTTATTTCTCAGGTAGATACAATTACATTTTGGTTATATTAATGCACCTTGGACACATTCTTCTCATCATCAAAACAACAACATGTTTCTCCAAAATAACACCGGCCATGACGAAACTGGGCTTCATTACAAAACACAAGGCAACCTAGTTGCTGTGAGGAATGACACGCTATTAATTTTACACAATACGAATTCTTCGGAATTTGATCATGACCTATTTATTAATACAAAAGAGTACACCAATATGAATAATCCATTTTCAAAATGACAAAATCATGTTCATACTTCAAAAAGAGGATGCAAATAGAAAATATTTGACATAGGTCACGTAAAAAATTTGGCTCAGAATTACTAATGGTTGGTATAGTTTACCTACTAATGCGTCTCCACCATTATTTGGGGCACTAGCCGATATTGTATGACAATGTACATAAGATATGATGAAAATGAAAGTGAAAACAAATGCGATTAATCTTTTTATGGTGATAGCCATTTTCTTATTTTCTCTTTTGTGTTTGTTAATGCTGAGCTCTTCTTTACATAAGTTGATTGTATATAATAACACAAAATATTGGTAAATGGTATTGATCCTGGTCAAAGTTGTAAAATATTATAATATTTTAAATTTATTTTCTATAGATTTAAAGTCAAAAGAAATTAACTTATTTCTTTATAGGATTATTTGCAAAAGATCATACATTGAAAGTTTTTTTTTTTTTTTTACCTAGTTACGTTTGAACACGGGTAATTGTATTTAATTATTTATAGTTTTTATACATTGCTAGATATGTAATTTATTTTCTTCATTTTTGTATTAAATTTGGAAAATGTTAAAAAAAATGCCTTATTTTTTAGATATTCTTTAAAAAATGTAACTCCTTTAAAATCAAATATTTTTAAACATGCAACTAATTATTTGATATTTGGCAATTTTACCATTAGTAACAAGTCTTCAATTTTAGTTTGTGGAAACTCGAACAAAGATCAGCATTAGGAAGGATGCTTATATAATCTTTTCGCAGAAATTGCAACATATTGTATAAGATTAGATACTTAAAAACGATTTTTATAAAACTTGAAAGGTTTTGGCATAAGCAATTCACGATGATTTGCTTCGAATTTCAACCTGATTTTCAAAACCCAGAACCATTTCAAACATCAAAAATCGAATCAAAACCTTACAAGAATTCGTGGAAATGTGATCAAACCAATTTATTCATACTATATCTTTAATTTGGTAAAGTTTATTGCTTTGATCTATTATATAGACATTGAGAACATGTTCTAGATGATATCTTTTACTTTGCTTTAGATATTTTATACAAAGAGTAACAAACATATGAAACGTATTTGAATTGATATATGATGTCCAAAAAAAATAAAGTTGATGTTATGTTTCAAGGAGATTCATACAATTACACATTTGGATGATAACAACAACATCGTGATCCTGCAATACACACAGCATAAGCATAATTGATGTTATTACAAAACGTAATGCAACCTATGGAATATTCTCCTGATCCTTCGTGTTCACACGCTCTTGATTTGATGCAATACTCATCTTTCGCAAGTTCACGACCTATTTATTAATACAAATGGAGTAAAACCATATGAGTATGCATTTTCATATGGACAACATATATTCATAACTCGAAAAAAAATGGGGTATATGAAATAAGAATACACAAATACATACAAAACGAAATCCATCTTCAATTATAGTAAAACAAGAGTACATGACGATGCAAAGAACTTATAGTTTACTAAATGATTAGTTTTGTTTACCTATTGTGGGTGCATTTGCAATTGGTGTATGGCAATGAACATACGATATGATGAAAGTGACACTGAAAGCAAATACAATTAGAGTTTTTGTGGTGATAGCCATTTTTTTGTTTCTTGTTTGTTTGTCAATGAGTTGTTCTTTACTTAGATTGATTATAAATAATAGTACACATACACGTAAATAGTAATTTTGTTGGTCAAAGTTTTAAAGTAGTATAAAATTTTGGGAAATTCCAACTCGTATATTATTTAACTCACCTAAGATTTTCAGTTTATTTCTTATAGATTTATAGTTAAAAGAAAATAACTTATTCTTTCTGATTATTTCTTTATAGATTGTAGTCAAAAGATAAGAAAATGCATGAAATTTTTTATTTATTTTATACCAAATTAGTTTTAAACATAGAATATGATATTTATTTACCAAGAATATTGTATTTATAATTTACAATTTTAATGGTTTATGATCTCTATGTTTTATTTGAAGTGATCATTTAAGTTTTTGTACATATATATTAAGAAAATTAATAAAAAAATATTAATTTATCTCTTTTACAGAAAAAATACATCATAAAATATAATTAATTTAAACACTGGATATGATATCTATTGTTTTATTAATTAATAGTTATATATGTTTTTCTTTGTTTTCTTATATATATATATATATATTTATATATTTAGAATCAAAATTTAAAATTTTAATGGTTATATGATTTCTATGGTTTATTTTAAGTTATGTTTAAACTTTTTTCATAAACAGATAAAAAAATTATAAAAATACTTTAATTAATCTCTTTTATATAAAAACACATAATTAATTAATCTCTTTTTCATAAAATACCACTGTTTTGTTTTAGGAGATGTGGTCCAGGTCTTGATGTAAGTTCTCCAAGCTCCCTAATGGATCATCTTGGTTTTAAACTACTATGTTACATGACGACCAAGAATATAGATATTTACAAAAAAAAGTACGAAGCAAAGTTGGTTGATATACGTAAATACAGTACTATGGTGTTAACTTCACCATTCCAACCTAAGCTCCTTAGCATCGACAAGTCTTCGCCGAGTAAGCTCCAAGTAGCAAGCATTCGATATATAGTCCATACCTAGCCGAATAGTTATAGTGTATATCTTGCACTCCGATATGTAACTCTAAGTAAATCTTATCTTCTGTATTAGGACTTCCTTACTTAGATCAAAGTGCTAATAGCTCAACTAACAAATGGTAAAGATTTTTGGCAAAAATCTAAAAATCGATAGTTCGAGTAGTGCTTGGGACGAGACTTATAACATACATTGATCTTGGGTCTGAGAAGACGTATGGGCTTCGGTTCAGAACCTCTTAATTATTCAAAAAAAAAAAAATTCTTGTAACAAAAAAGTATTTGTTTCACAGTTATTTAAAGTTCCATTCAGTATCTTCTATTATATACAGATTCATTATTTTGTATTTCGATTCTATTTTATATTTTGTTCAAATCTTATCTGGGTTTTTTTCCAGAACCTCTTAGTTATTCAAAAAAAAAAAGTATTTGTTTTACAGTTATTAAAAATTCCATTCAGGCTGATCTTCTATTATATACAGTTTCATTATTGTATTTCGATTCCGTTTAAAATTTTGTTCAAATGTAAAAAAAAAAATATAAATATATAGCTCAAAAGTTTAATAAAACTATGTATACCTTAATTTGATATGGTAAACTACATTTATTATTTTCCTTTAGGTCATTTATTTAGAGATATTGAGAACATATAAAAAATTTTGATACTATTTTTCAAGTAGATAAAATTACATTAGGTTGTTGGATGATTAGTTTCTCCTTGGACGCATTCTCATTTCTATGATAACAACAACATCGATCACCCTCACACACGGCAGTAGCATAACGAGCTTCGTTACAAAACACAACGCAACCTATCGCCCCTTGGCTTTTGTCCATACATGCTCGTGTTTTGAAGCAATACCCATTCTTCTTTGCAAGTTCATAACCTAATTAATTCATCAAAACAAAAACCAATGTTCACCAACATGAATATTCGTTTTTAAAAGGTCAAAATGGGTTATAAACTTATAACAATGCACCCCAAAATACATACAAAAATGGAACGTCTAATGATTTTTTTTTTAATCTTCAATTGACTTTTAAAAAGTTTGGCTCAAAGTTATTAAAATGGTTGATATATTTTATTGTACCTGTTGTGAATGCTGGTTCATCTATGCTTGGGGCACTAGCAAATGTTGCTTGACAATGAACATAAGAGATGATGAAAATGACACTGAAAACAAATGTGATTAGAGTTTTCGTGGTATTAGCCATATTTTTTTATATATTCTGTTGTTTTTTTTTGTGAATGAGTTTTTCTTCAGTTAGATTGATTATATATCACAATACAAATATACAAAAATGGTATTTATTTTTTTCCTGGTCAAAGTTGTTAATGATTTATGATACCCATAACCTTTCAATTTTTTTCTTATACACTATAGTCAAAAGAAAATAATTGATTCTTTCACATTTCTTTCTTTATAGAGTTGTAATCAACAGAAAATAATATATTCTTTCAAAAAAGATTTTACAGAGTTATAGTCAAAAGAAAATACATAGAAATGTATTTTCACCTAATTACCTTTGAACACTGATATTCATTATCTCTTGCTTATCTGAAAATGAAATGTTTTCACTTATTAAATTAAATCATTTTAATTTCATAAATTAATAAAGAATATCAAATACAAAGATTAAAAAATTATCATTTAATTTTACTGAATTTTATAAAAATATGAATATCTATAAAATCAATGGTATTTTAATTTAATTTTAATTTTTATTAAACTACAAATATTAAAAACAAATGAACTAAAATTTACATTGTATGAAGATTTCTCTTTTATAGTTTCAATGTAATTTATTTCATTTTTATAAATAATAATTTTACTGAATTTTATAAAAGTATAATTAGCATAATATCAATGGAATTTTAATGTAATATCAAGTTTTCAGTAAATAAAAATATTAAATAAGGGGAATTTTCATAAATACCACTAAATGGGTATTTTCCAAAAATATTATTATAAGTTTTTTATTAAAAATAACACTAAAATAAATTTGTTCCAAAAATACCACAAAACTTAAACTATATTTTTTAACATTCAAAACTAATTTCTAAATCCTAACTATACCCTAAATATAAATATTTAAACTTAAACATGAAATCAAACAAAACTTACAATTTAAAAATCAATTATTTATGTTTATGGTATTTTTGGAAAAATAAAAAATTTGTGGTATTTTTGGAAGGAAAAACAAATAATGGTATTTTTGAAAGAAAAGAAAAACTTAAAATGTGGTATTGGAGGGAGTTAGAATTTGTTTCATATTATGGTTTATTTTAAGGCAAATTATGGTTTAGTTTTTGTCTATTTAAAAATATTTTTAAGAGAAAAATATATATAAAGTAAATAATTAGCGTTAACATGTAACTAAAAATGTATTGTTTACGACAAAAATAAAAATAATCATCCTAATTTTTTTTTCTATCAACCCTTAATTCAATTGATATAAATTCTTATAGATTGTAAATAAAAGTTTATAGAAGTAAAATATTGGTACGTACGTGCTTGTTATTGACTTAATACCTTAGCAGCTTTTAAATATTCACCATGACCAAGCTAAGAGATGGACGATTATGAAAATGATGATGATACATTATGAAATGATGGGATCTTTCCCAAAGAGAGAAGCTTCTACGGATCGAAGTAATAGGCAAATGAGAAAACTCTGATTTCAAATGAATAGGAGTCTTCTGTGTAGTTTACTAGTTTCCATCAACAAACATGGTTACTGATAAAACACTCCAGCAACATTTACGGTTATGTTACAAATATCCAATTAAGAGAAGATCCAAATCAATTTGAAGCAAGAGCGTTTAGTTTCTTTTCATAAAGTTTTGCCCGTCGCAGAGCATCTAATGCCTCAGCTTGTTTCCCTGCACGTTTCAGTGTCACAGCTTTTACCTTCTCCGCTTTGATGCGTTCCTCCAATTGACTTCTCTCTTGATTATTATTACTCTCCTTCACTGGGTTTGGTTTCAGAGCAGCCTGTGTTGTGTCTGTTTTGCTCACAGATGGAGGGTTTATAGGATTGTCTAATCCGATTGCTTTAAGGGCAGATAAGAGTTGAGGATCGAGAAAATCTTCCACTGCTACATCGTCCACTGGTTCGGGTTTAGAGGATGTTGAATCTTCCAGTTGAGCTTCAAGAGTTTTGGCGATTTCAAACTCAGCTTCAGCTTCTTGCATTTTACCTTCCCTCCGAAGCTTCATGGCTTGACGTTTGTGGCTTAGTGACTCTTGCTGCACCTTAAAACGTTCACGACCAGACAATGCCTTTGGGGCTGAACTTGAAGGACTATTCTCTTTCTCTCGAGCAGGAGGATCCTGCGTTGTAGAAACCATATTATCTCGTCCGAGCTTTTCAGGAGGAGAGGGGTTTTCTCCTTCTTGTAGGCTCCTCTCCAACAATTTTGCTCGTTGCAATTCCTTTTTGGCTTCACTCATGTTACCTTCTCTCTTGAACGCAACTGCCTTTTTCTTATGAGCCAGAATTTCTTGTTTGAGGGTGTTCTGAGGAGATGTATTTTGAACCGAAGCTGATTGAATATTACTGGGCTCTGGCTCTTCACGTGCCACTCTTTGTTCAGTGCCATGATTGTTTCCTGAACCAAAGTCTGACTTACTCTCAGCAATTCCTTTTTCTGCATGAATTTGAGACCTCTCACAATGCTCACCAGTCAGTAAATCCATCATACTTGGTTGCTGCTGGCCTGGTTGAGAAACAACGCTAGAGGAACCGGATTTAGCAGGAGAGATAAAGTCTCCTAACAAGTCATAACTATCTTGAGCAGTATGAGAAACACTAGCAGATTTTACGGCTTTCTCTTCCATTTGTGATCCAACTAATAAATCAACGTCCATATAGATTTCAGGGTTAATTGCAGAAGCTGAGCCTTTCGTCTCCATCATGGGAGTTTCTAGTTCTGCCAGTTGTGCCTCCAAAACACTGGCCTTGGTGTATAATTCATCCGCATCTCCAGTTTTCCCTTGACGCTTGAAGGCAAGTGCTTTCCTTTTTAAGTCAAGAAGTTCTCTTTGGATTTGTCCCTTGGTTTTGGCTGCTATCCGTGGACCTGTTGATTGTGTAGAACTAAAGGCAGCTTCCTTTTTTGGGGGTTCTTCATCATCCCATCCCAAATTCTTAAGAGTCGACAATAGTGCTGGGTCCTTCATATCATTTTCTGTAACTTTATCATCTCCTCCATTGACCCCACTATCGGCAGCAATATCATTATATTGTCTTTTCAGCTGATCACTGTCAGCATAAAGACTCTTACCTGAATCAATCTCTATTATCTGAGCTTCCAATATTTTTGTCTGGTTGAGAACTTCCTCTGCTTCATCAACATTACCCTGTCGTCGCAAAGTTAAAGCCTTTCTTTTCAGCCCTAAGAGTTCTCGTTGTATTTCAGCTTTACTTCTTCTTGGTTTAGTTACACGGACTTCATATGCACCTTGAGTTTCTGTTGTTTTCCCTGGTCGAGAACTAACTGGGTCAGATTTTTCTGATGAAGAACCTGGAGGAATATTATCTTCATCATTCCAACCTAAGCTCTTTAGCATCGACAAGTAATTCGGATCATTTAACTCCTCATCTTTTACATCTACGTCTCCATCATCATCCAGAGAATTAATTTCAGGCAGATCATTTCCAAGATGTTCTTTTTCACGAGTGGCCTTTCCCGCGGCTGCTAACTTTGACGAATTATCCAGCTCATCAAGCTGATTTTGGAGAACTGCTCCTTTCTTCAATTCTTCTTCTGCTTCGTTAAACTTTCCTTCCCTTCTCAAAGTAAGCGCTTTCTTTTTAACTGCAAGAAGTTCTTTCTGAATCGCTAGCCTGCTTCTGGGAGCAATTTTCAGACTCGTGTCCTTCTCTGCCCCAGTTGTATCAACAGTAAGTGAGGACATATCAGCAGCTTCTAATTCCTTCTCAAGTAATTTTGCCTTCTTTAGTGTAGCCATGGCCTCTGCGACATTTCCAGCTCGTTTAAGATTAAGGGCTTCTCTTTTCAATGTCTGAATTTCAGCTAAACTTTCATCTCTGTTCTTTGGAGACGGTTGAGTGTGGATATTCTCGCGGTGTCCAGGATCCTCAGTCCAACCCAAAGATTTCAATGCTGCAGCAATTGCAGGGTCCTCCATATCTTCATCTGTGACATCATATTCACCATGAACTCCAATATCATCTACGTTTCCCATAAGATTACTAATGTCGAAATCATGACTCCCCTCATATTGAGCTAACAGATCATCTTCTTTGTCGTCATCCATACTATTAATAAGTGCAGATAGCTCATCATCTGATTCATCACCCCCACCTAAAAGTTCCTGCTCTTCAAGTTCCCTTTCCAAAATTTTAGCCTTTTTCAGTTCTTCTTTAGCTTCCGCAAGCTTCCCTTCACGTTTCAACGCAAGGGCTTTTTTCTTAAGGACAATAACCTGACTTTTGTCAATTCCCCCACTCTTCTGAGGGTTAGCCTTTCGGGGAATTTCACGGAGAAGCGAAGAAAATTCTCCCTCCACACTTACAGTTGCTGGTTTTTTATCTTCATCGTCAGACCACCCGAGCTCCCTCAGCTCAGCTGCCAAATCATCATTTCCTTTACCCCCTTGACGTGGAGGCTTTTGTGATTTGCTAGACTCTTTCGTAGCAGCCTTGTTCTGCGTCTCGGAAACATTTTGCATAGAGAGTGCCCTTTTCCGGTTCCTTCTTAAAGATATCTCTAACGCATCAGCCTGTCTCTCAAGTTTCTTCCCTCTCTTAAAGGCTTTTAGAGCTTCATCAGATTTCCCTTCTCCTTTAAGAACTCTGTACAAATTCTTCTCTTCTACTGCTTGTTTACGCAAATCTTCAGGACTATCTGAGACATCATCCAAATCCATATCTTTGTTACTACTGCTGCTTGCCATTTCTTTAGAAGCAATCCTGTCTGTACTAGACACTGATTCTGATGAGGAAGATACATCAACATCAGAGCCTAAAATCTCACTGAGAACATCATCCTCATTCTTTAAAGTCCTCTTAGAGCCACCTGCTGAACAAATTCACAACCTCATAAATCAAAAACTAACAGATAACACAAGCCTCATCGATAATATCAGTAGTGAAAATCTAAGCATAGGCAACATATTTTTCACCTTTAGCAGCTCTATTTTTGTAACCTTGACGCAACTCGAACCGTGCAGCTTCTTCAAGTTTCTTACATGGTTCACAAATACGCACAGGTGAGTCACCTTGTCCACGGAGTGACATCCTTTGCTGAGTACAGGTTCCACAGAACAAACCCCCACATCTCCGGCAATGATGCTGCTCACTCAAAAACAAAGCCACACATTCCAGACTAAGCAAACTTGAGCATATCACAAGTCTAGTAATATACAAACACAAGAGATACAGATTTTACCAAATTTAATGGATTCAATTACTCAAAAACAACTCTATCTCTATGGAATCTATCAATCAAGTGCAACAACTGATCTAAGACCATTTCCAGGAAAATATCATTCAAATGAAGTTTTCCGATGAACGGATTTAAAATTAGATCCACAAGAGATCGCAATAACAAGAAATTTCAATTGATGAAGACGAAAGAGTAAGCGAGAGAGAGAAAACAAACCTTTCGATTGATGAAAGTGAATTGAGAAGTGCATCCTTGACAATGAGAAGCATCTACGACCCAAGTATTTCCTCTCAAAGATGGCTTCGGCGGTAATCCGATCTTCTCCAACATTTTTCAGTCTGAATCTTCACTTCCTCCGGCGCGAGATGAGACACCTTTGATCTTGATTTCACCGGAAAAAGTAAAAGATCGAGCGAAGAAAATATAATCTCAACTCCAAGCAGAGATGAAGAAGACGAAGAAGAAGACCACTTTTTCTCTTTACTTTTCCAGGAAAAGAAAAGAAATAAAATAATAAATAAATAGCAAAACGGTGCCGTTTATTTAAAACACTAAATAAGTAGATTAGATATAAAAGCAAGTGCAATTAGACAAGAAACTTAACTTTGCTTGAGACGACGAAACGAAGTGAGAAAGAGAAAGAGACCAAACCCTAAGATTTGCTTTAAAAGTATTCAAATCTCGATTTGTTCACAATGATCGTCCCAGTTCGTTGCTTTACTTGTGGAAAGGTTTCGTTTTTTACGATCTCGATTGAGTTATATATGTGTACATGTGTGACAAATCTCTAGGGTTTTTTAGAATTGTGATTTACGAAGCTTATGATTTTTTTTTTTAAGGTGATTGGGAACAAGTGGGATACATACCTTGAGCTTCTCCAGGCTGATTACGCCGAAGGGTATGCGATTCTTTTATGCTTATTTGGTTGAACATATGAGATTGATTAAGCCTAGAATTTTGAATGTTTTTTAACATCTTATGTTTGAAACGAGAGTATGAAACTATTATCCCTAGTGCTCTAAAAGATAAAACAATAGCTGAATATGATGATGGAATGATTCGATATGAAAAATTAGTGTCTCTATAGTCACGTAAAAGATGAAACAATAGACGAATATGATGATGGTTTTGTGTTAATATATGTGTATACATACTCGAAAAGATTATGAAACAATAGAGGAACATGATGATGGAATGATTTGATGGTTTTATATCTAAAAAGTATATGTGTTCTTTGCACGGTCGAAGAGTTTGTATCTTTTCTTTTATGATTATCTTGTAGTTTTATAGAATGTTAAATCTGTTCCTAAAAGCATGAAGGTTGGTCACTGAAAGTATTTGATATATCTAGTTGAATTGGCCTAGCATAATATGTGTTCTCAAATTGAGATTTTGTGTATAACTGCAACTTTTGAATTTTGGTTTTGGGATATGTAGGGATGCTCTTGATGCACTTGGGTTAGTCCGTTACTGCTGTAGGCGTATGCTTATGACTCACGTCGATCTAATCGAAAAGCTTCTAAACTACAACAGTAATATCTCTACACTACACCTAGTTCTTTTGCCTTGCACGCTCTACTCTTTATTCTCACTTTCTTTTTAGTCTAAATTAGCTTTAACTTATTTGAAATACACTCTTCCTTGCAGCTATGGAGAAATCTGACCCTAACTAGAAAATATTGCATATTAACGAATAAACACATCACCAGAACAGAAGTGAAGGAGTGATACATCTCATGCTCATTCATATGGACAGACAGGCTTATCTTACTCTCTGAATAATAAACCACATTGTTTTAAAATTTTGTTAAGTTTAGAAAACTATTAATTATTTTCTCATATTCTTTGTTGGGGTTTACGAATGTAGACAACTTTTCGAGCCAAAAATAAAGCTCAAAGTCTGTCATCTGTTGAAATTATCTGTGATTGTTTCAAGATTTTTTATGATAAATTAGGATCTTTCTTGAATATGCAAATTGTGTTGTAGTCTTTCAAGTGTTTTAGCTTAAAGAGTTAAGTTACAAACCAGCTTCTTATAAGAGTAACAGAGATTAATACATGTACCTACCAATAATTTTATTAACCGTGATCGAACAATCTTGATTTACTTAAGTTCACTTTAATGGTAAGTAGTGTTTGTGTATGAAATGACATATAAACTCAACCAACATATTATTAAAAGCCATTTTGTAGAATGGGAGAATGAGATCAAAGACTCACGTACGTACTCATAAATTCCATTGTTACATAGTCGAAATCAAGATTCTATAGCTTTGATCAATCCTTTGGACTCGTAGTACTCTATCATCTGATCATACATCTCATTGATCCCATACTCGAATTGAAAACCTTCACTGATAAGCTTTTCTGAATTGAGTTTCAGTTTCGCAACAGACAAGCACTTTTCGAATCTGCCAAATTTCACAACAAAAAAAAGTAATGAGAAATTCAAAAACGTTCCATCCAAAATTTGTAGTTTATGTTGAAAGAGATGCTTACTCTGACAACACATTGTACTTAGGATATCTCTGTCTGAGAAAATCAGCAATCTCTGGAACACAAGTGTTGTTAGCACAGCAAATGTAGCGACCAGAGGCAGTTTCTTTCTCCGCAAGAAACAAATGAGCACGAGCTAAATCGTCTACGTGAACGAACGAGATCGAGCCAGATAGCTTCTGCATCTCCTTGAGTCCGGTCAGATGCATTTCTTTCCCTAACAACAACACAAAAAACATCTTGATTTCTTGTCGTGAAACATAATGTGACAAAATAGTAAAATTCTGTATTTACCGGTGATTAAAGACATGGAGAGAGCTAAACTGCTTGGAGGATCGTAGAGCAGAGAGTTTCCGGCTATAAGTGCCGGAATCACAGTAACGAGATCGATGTTATGCTCTTTTGCAAATTCCCAAGCTGTCTTCTCTGCTAACATCTTAGAGATTGGGTAGCCCTAGCAAAAAAAAAAAACAGAGAAGTAAGTTAGGTTTATATATGAAAAAAGGATCCTAGCTTGTGTCACAAGAGAGTTCAGGTACCCAGTTAAAAGGCTTCTCCTTTGTGAGAAATTCAATGTCAGTCCAGTTTTTTTCGTTCATCACAAGTCCAGGTCCAGAAAGGTTGTTAATGGAAACCGCAGCAGCTGAAGAAGTGTAGATCACACGCTTGATTGATTTCGATTTCAGGCAAGATTTCAACACATTGATTACTCCTTGTATCGCTGGCTTGATCATGTCTTTCTGTATATTGAAAAAAAAAACAAAGAATAGCTTGAAATTGTTTCTCTTAAGAGTATTATAAAAAATGCCTGCACATTCTGTTTAAGATAGACCTCAGGATCGTCGGATTTGAAGTTGATCGGCGTTGCAACATGGAAGATGTATTCACAGCCCGAGATAGAGGAGTCGAAACTCTCTTCATCGGTCAAATCCGCCTTGAAGATCTTGAGCTCGCCAAGTTCTTGAAGTGGCCTAAGGTGAGCCATTTTCTTCTCATTTTCTGCAGTTTCTTATTAGAGAGTCAATAAACATTCAAAATGCTTTTAAGAGGAGAAGAAAGAAGAAAATGGAGAACCTGGATCTCTAACTGTGGTGTTAACTTTGTAGCCACTTTGAAGCAAATGCTTGATGAGAATAGAAGCTAAGTTTCCTGTGCCACCGATAACACAAGCCTTCTTCGTTCCTGTGGGTGCAAGAGTCTGTTCCATGATTTTTACTGTTTAAAACAGAGAGATTGAGATGTGGTTGTTATGACTTTAGGGTCTCAAGACTTCTATATAAGAAGTAAGAAAAATCCGCAAGACTGCTCATTTGGTACAACCATTGATCAATAAAGGTTTTTTAGAAGGTAAGCACGTGTGCTCTGAGATAACAACTTCTCTTCACCTAAGAATCAAAAAAAGACTTTTATAACATTTTTTGACTTGCTGTTTTGTTATCATCTACCAAGATCGAACTCAAGATTTTGAATTTTGATGAATGTAACAAAGCTTTAAAGAGAAGAATGCTCTTTAGAAAAGTTGTGCTTATTCAGTTTTACTTTGCAGACTTCAAAATGAGTTATAGAAGTGTAACGTTTCTACTACCAATATGATGATCTATGTGTTGAAGTGTACCTTTCAACTAAGAGAATACCAAAACATTGTTGGCTCAATTCAAACATAATTTGTCAGTTTGATTCAACATAATTTGCAATGTTCTAGTTCAAGTGTCACATAATAGCAGGGATAGCATCAAGCTTTGGCAGAATTAACCTCAATGGTATTTTAAGATATTATAAGCTACAAATTCAAAATAGAGAGATCAACAAAGATAAAACCACAGGGGGAGAAAAAAAAACAGGAAAAGTTACATAGAAAGATCAAAGGGAAGAAGAAAATGAGTAAAATCCTAAAACTCAAATAACAAAAGGAATTGGCATAGCAATTCGATTATCTGATTACTTATTTCTTAGAAGCTTCAATGATCATAGCCGTCAAATCATGCAAAAGGTCAGCCTTCTCCAACAGAAAGTCCAACTCCATATCTTGCAACTTCTTGAACTTCCCTTCAACAATCTTCTTGGTCTCATCAGGAACCAAACTCCACTTATACTTCAACGTGTACTCATCAACACCTAAAGTTGTAATCATTCGAAACAGAGCCGAGTTCACAAACCAGTCGGGTTTCCTTGAATCACCTCCTCGAACAATCACATCCTCATCATCACCATCTTCAACCTTTTTACCATTAGGTGAAGAACCAGCAAACACAAGCTCTTGCTTAACGGAATCAATCTTCTTCTTAGATTTACTCTGACTCTTTCTCGACACACCATTAGACTTGATGTTAGACTCAAGAGCAAACCCATCAGGACCCCAAATAAACTTTGACAATTCATAAGATTTCTGATCATGAGCTTTCGAGAAACTAGGTTCAACACCAGTCTTACCTTTAGCTGTATACTTCTTCCTCAAACTCCTAATCTTATCCATGAATTGATTCTTACTAACCTCAAAGCTAATAGATTTCTTGATGAAATCGTAAAACGCATTGGTATCTTCATAAGGAGACTTGCCTGTATCAGCTTTGAAATCAATCATACCTTGTAACACAGCAATCTCATCATCTTCAGTCCATAGTCTTTGAAAAGCTGGTTTCTTTACACTCTCTTCTTCACCTCCTCCTCCTGAAGTAACCACCTTGACCCTCTTAGCTGAAGCCGCCGCTTCACTCGCCGGCCGTTTCGCTCCTGATTTCACAGCCGGTAAAGCTAAAGCAGCATACGAAGTCGAATCTTCCTTCTTCTTGAGATTCACAGAGATTGTTTTGCCAGATCCAGAATTGGGTGGATTCGTCGATTCAGAGTCCGAATCTGTTTCGGTCTCCGATCCAGAATCCGAATCGGCGGCAGTGGCGGGTTTCGACGGAGCGGCGACGGCGGCGGCGGCGGTGGATTTGGAGGCAAGGGATTTGATTGGGATTTTGGAGGATTCGTCTTCTTCAGATGAAGAAGAGTCATCTGAAGCTTCACCAGCTTCTGAAGTCTCGACGTCTTCGTCTTCGCTTGAAGAAGCGGTTGGTGGGTCTTCCAAAGGATTGAGCTTTTTCGTCATCGGAGATGGTAAAGATCGAATCGAGAGAGAAAGATTAGGTTTTCTTTAGGGTTTGTGAAGGTGAAGAGACGACGGCAAACAAGTGAAGGAGAATATAAAGGTGTGAACTTTAGTTAAAGACTTAAAGTGTTTGCTGTCTTCCAATAGATTTTTTTGTAAGGTAATTTAATTCTTTTTTTTTTTGGGACAAAGCAAAACAATTAGGAATTTTAATATCTTTTGTCGCTTTTGGTATTTTTTTTTCCCAATGATTATCATTATTTAAGAGTGTAATAAATTATTTAGAAAAAAAAGAAAGAAACTTACTTAATGGAAGAATCGAATTTTATCTTTTTTTTTTTTTTTTTGTCAAATAAAACCCCAAAAATCTTTTCGGAGTCTTAAGTCCAAATAAGAGAAACTAAGCCAACGGACAAAAGAAAAGTCTTTGGAAGCCGATCGAATTTTATCTTACAATTTACAAATAACTTTTAAAAGAATAAAAGGAAAAGAGGTAATTATTGGGTATATAAACGAAATCAAGGAGTATTTTATTTTTCTTCTCCTTTTTTTTGGTATAGGATTTTCAATAGTTTCGTCGCTTCGGTAAATGTATTTTATTTTTTTTTGTTTAATGAATATGGCTTTTAAACGGGAAATAGGTATTGAGAAAATTAATAATAAGTTTAATTCATAATTATATGATGGTACTAAAAAGGTTGTATTGTATTCCACCAAAAAAAAAAAGGTTGTATTGTATTTAATTTTATTTTTATTTTCCAAGATTTTAAGGCTTTTGTTGAGGTTTGTGGCTTTAACCTGATTTTTTTTTGCCTACAAAATCAGCACTCCAAGTCTACCTTAGAGGTTACTCAAGGCACCAAAGCTATAATCTGAATTGGCTCTAGTGGTGTGTGTGCCTTAGAGTCAACTCCTTTCCAAGCATCACTTTAATGCCTTAGTGAATTGTGATCATGAGTCTATGGCTTAACCAACTACTAACCGAGACGAGAGTGTTCTTCGCTTAACGTTTTTCTTGTTGATCATTCTTGTAATCTCTTCTCGAGTTTTGAAAGAGTTAGAGTCTGATTGTTACTGTAACTAGTACAGGTGAGAGTAAATTGCTTGAGAGAATTTAAGCCTAGACGTAGCGCTTTCACACTATGTGAGCTCAAACTCGTTTACATCAACTTCTTCGGTTCTTCCTCTGTTTTTGCTCTGTTTTGCTTCTGTTTCCGAGTGACTAAGTGAATACGCTTTACTTCATTTGATGTGTATAATTGAGTGGACGTGACAACAAGGAAGGTTTTGACTTTAAAAGTTTTGTTGATCGATTTTTCCACAGTGACAGTAGAAATCTCAAAAAATGGTGTTTCGACACAATGTTCAGTTCCTAGAGAAAACCAACTGAGAACATGCGAAATTGTAACCTTTCCATACTCGTTTATTCGACTTCCCACGAGAGAAGCCACAAAACATATAACCAAAAAATAATATACTCATGGTTCTAGACTTCCAGTATGATCCATGCATAGCAACAATGTTGAATCACAGACATTGTTGATGGAAACAGAACCATGAAAGAACAAGTCTCTGCAGTTACCTGTAACAAAACCAAAAAACATAGTTAGTCTTCTAACATGAGATATAGCAAAACCAGAGTACTTTCTGATCGAACCAAGTTATTGGTGGCTTAAACAGTGAACTTTGTCACCTCAACTGGCTTCAAGAAGCTAAAGTCTGGCAATTGAAATATGGAGAGGTTCAGGTACAGGTCTCGGATGGTTGCGAACTTGTGATTATGTATTTCACTTTTTATGTTCCCAATTATATTATGAGAAAACCTCCATTAATACTTGATTTGTAATCTACGAGCGTGGGGAACACCATGAATAATTGAATATTACTAGTTGATTTTTATCGTTTCAGTTAATTCACTTGAAAGTTTATTTTTATTGGTCAATAGATTTTTCTCGTGTGGACAAAACATAACATGTGGCGTTCAAGAAAAAGAAACTTTCATGCATGATATCATTGTCCCACAAATTGCTACCGTTACATTCGAGAGATGTGATAGAAACAAAACTTGTGTATCTTGTGTTCGACAATATTGTAAAATGAAATCATAAATGAAAAAAAAAAAACCATTCAAAGGAAGAAGCTGTTACACCAACTCATGAGTTCTCACATTCTCGACCAACCAAATTAAACCACTTTTTTCTCTTGTCAAGATTGGATTCTTCGAACAATCCTAACACCAATCTCGTTCCGCGAGAACTTCAAGTATCGTCCGACAACAACATTATCAATAGAGTATTGAGATCATATGACGTCAAAGGGAGATTTATTTTCATACAAAATCGAAGAGGAGTACTATCTCAAAGGTTCATGTGGAACTAGAGACTCACTAGTTGTTAGATCCTCACGTAGCATAGACCACACATGTCTGTTGGTGCATCCCATAACCATACTTCCCATTTATGTAATGGTGCTACCACGTCGACCGGTTCTAATGTTAGAACAGTTGAGGTGACCTCCAACAACACAAGAATGGATATATCGTTTTTTATAAGCCGGATGCAAGCTTTGATAAATGTGATCTTTGCATTACACAACGACAACATTATGGTCTGCGACTTGAACATCTCACTGATGAATCCGGCGTTTTGTGGTTGATAAACAAAACCGGTTCAGCTTAACCGAATCAAAATAGACTTTATCCGAGTTAACTATATTAGGCCAGTGTAAATTCTCTTTGGTACGTAGTGTCTCCGGCGTAAGCTTTTCTGAGTTACTAAGCTAATATAGAGTATTTTACAACTCTCTTGTAATCTTGAGCTTTTAATTCGTTTCAGGACCAAAAAAACCAGTTTAACAATGAAATTTGATTTCTTGGATTTTAATTAAAGAACCGATTGTGAGACTTTGATCTTTGTTGAGAAGAGTGTCCCAAGTGTTTTAATCCAAGAACTTATTTGCGTATGACTTATGAGTAACACAAATCTATAGTTCATCTCTCTTTTTGGAGAAAATATAGTTGGCAGACACACAAAAAAAAAAAATTGCATAGAATTTGGTATTAAACAACATATAACTTATTTTGATCATTATATTCGAATGCACGAGTTGTGCATTCTGAATACAGATTTAAAAATCATACAAAAGAAAGAAATAGAGAGCTTTCTTAACCTCTAAATGACCATACGAATGAAAGAGCAAAAACATGATGATATGATTATACACATCTATAGTGAAATAAATTTAACCAAAGAAACCAAAACTTTTTGCTTTTTTGGTCTCAACATGGTAACTTGAAACCCATGTAACGACCAGAGACATAGTCATTCCAAACATCAAGAGCTCCGTAGCTTGTCATCAACACAATGCTCAATGCCATGACGATACCAACCGAGAACACGATGATCGAAGCCCTTCCATACTCAGTTATAACCTTTTGAACCACTTTTAGTCCTACGAGTGAGGCTACAAAACATATAACAGCGAATATGCTCGCGGTTCCAGTATGTTCCATGCCTAGTAACAAGTATTGAATCGCAGACATTGTTGATGAAAACAGAACCATGAAAGAACATGTTGCTGCAGTTACCTATAACAACAAGAACAGAGTAATTTTAACTTGAGGTCTAAGAAAAGAACAGAGTATTTTCGTATCGAGTCAAGAGCTTAATTACCTCGGGAGCTATACCGACTTGTAGAAGAAGAGGACTAATGAGCATTCCACCTCCAATACCGAAAACACCACCCAAAACTCCAGCTAATAGAGCCATTACAGGAAACATACACTTGTTCGATTGTGCTCCATCGTTTGGTCTCAAATCTTCTACATCCTGCAAGCACAAAAGATTGTTTTCGGACATTCATCAATTTCTCTGTCTTTTCAAGAACTAATCAGTGTAGTAGTTTATGTGAAATCTAACCTTTGCACATGCTGATGACTGTTGGCTTTGAACATTGTCACTGAAGCAAATCCAAAGAGTGAAGAAGAGAGTAAGTGGTATTTGAGTCGATGAAAGGAGCCAGTAAGTGATTCCACATGGCTCTATCGATATGATTCCCTGAAAATGTTAAATATAAACTGTTAAATAGACTAATCATATTACATCATCATGTAAAAACTTCAGTCGGTTATTTTTGGTTTATACACAAACATGTTTGATATAGTTTTGGTTCAATGCAAATATGCAATAGAATCAATCGGTTTATAAAACAAATTGCGGTTTTGTTTTGGTTTAAACAGTATACTAATTTTGATCTGGTTTAGTTTTTTTTTTGGCTTGAGAAGATGAAGTCGAATCTTAAGGAAATTGACAGAAATATCTTAACGGTTCAAAAGAGATTGTTTGTATCTAGATCTTGAAAAGTGATTCTACCCTACCCCATAATATTAAATAAAGTAGAAATGAAAAAAAAATAATTAAAATTAAAATTTTTTATTTTGTAGATATATATTTTGTAACCTAGAATTTGCTGAGAAAAATAATATAATGTACTTTTTTTTTCAAAAGAGCTAGAAATAAAAGAAAAATAGTAGCCCAAAGCATCTTTGAAAGGGTAAAAGGAATCTAAAAAAGTGCAAAATCTTAGATCGTTGTAAGAAAAAGACACGAAGTCTTTGTTTGTATGTTTTGTAGCTTTCACTTACGACCGATCTCTAAAAAAAAACCAAACCATTATTGACGATGACCTGTCTTTCACGTGAATAAGTTCGCTATCGTTTTTATATGAATTTAAAAAAAGTTCCCTATCGTTTTCCAAACGCATCGTCGCCACGTGATGATGATACGATACCGCAAATTGAAGAAAGAAAGAAAAGAAAACATAAATAAAATGTCATGAAGGTAAGGTAGCTGAGATCGAACGATTTAAAAACGTGTTTCATTTACTCCTCATGAGACTTAGATCGTAATTAACTTCACCTAATTACGTTTTCATAAACGTGTTTTTGACGTATTAGTATAATCTTGAATAGAAAATTGTTAGTTACAAAATCATTATATATGAAATTATTATTCTTTTATTTCCTTAATGGTAAGAAAATTGTTTTCAAGAAACAATTTTAGAAGTTTTCCTTTAATGGTAATAAATTCTTTACAAGAAACAGTTTTAGAAAGTTTTTCCTTTTATTAGTGTAAACAAAAAAGATCCAACACAAAAAGAAAAAATAATATCTCTTTAACAGAAACTAAACAATTTCATGTAAATTGAGATAATCATGAAGACGAAATAATTTTGAGTAAAGTTTTAAGCCTTTTTGGCTTTTTCTTTCCTTAAAAAATATATGTTTTGTTGTCTCTAGTCTATATTGTCAATTCCAAATTTTTAAACATAAAAGCAGATCTTAAAAAAAGACATAAATGCAATACCAATAACTACTAATAATTGAAAAATTAAATGAAAAGTTTGAATTACCTCGCCATATTTGTTTCCACGAAGAAGATAAACCGCAAAGTAAGATAACCAAATAATCACCAAAACTCCAAGCTTCATCCATGGAAACCTCTTTGGTCTCTCATAATCCAATAGTGGCAACTTCAAACTCTCAACCTTCTCCTCCTCCTTATCCTCTTCTTGACTCGATTCTCTAATCTTTGCCATCTCTGACTCCAACCTCCAATAATAAACTCCATTTCCAAAAGTCTTCAACGTGGACCACGCAAGAAACACGGCAAAGAGAATAGTAATCAACCAGTTGGGAAACACAAGATTACATATCACTCCAATACTAACACCAAGAAGCATACATGGCTCCAACAAAAGAGCCAAATCGAAGTCGATTAGTGTTTTGCCACCAGATTTAGGGTTTCTAAGGAATAGATTGCATCCCACGTTAGCTATAGATCCACCAGTGACCATAAAAGCTGAGAAGCTTGAAGCTGTTTTCAGATCTAGACCTGCCACTATTGTCATTATCGGAACGTATAAGCCTCCACCGCCTATTCCACCGGCGCTTGAGATGGATGAAGCGAGGAAAGAGAGGAAAGCTGCTATGATTGTTGATGTTGTGAACTCGATTCTTGGTTGGTTGAATTTTTCTGTGAAATCTAGGTATGAGCTTGTTTGGTTTAGGAAATTATCAACAGGGGATAGAATTGAAGGTTCTTGTTCTGCGGTTGATGGAGTTAAGAACATCAAGAAGGTGATGAAGAAGGAGAGAATCATAGGGACGAAATTGTTTCTCATTTTTTATAAATGGGGTTTTTGGTTAATTTTCTGAAAGTTTTTGGGGTTTTTAAGGAGATTTTTGGGATTTGTATGTGTGTGTGTGTGTGAGTTTCACTCTCTCTATATCTTTATATAGAAGTATTGGGAGAGACGAGAGAGATGTTTGCATTTGTTAAGTAGAAAGTGGAAGAAAATTAAAAATAGAAATAGAAAGATAAAAAAAGACATAAATCAAGTCTTGGCAAGTGGTGAGAAAATGACATATACACATATATTCCAAGTGGAATTTTAAGAAATATGTGTGGATTTATAAATCTTATGTTATTCAAATATAAATTTTAAAAAGTTTTACGAAATCTAAGTGTTATTAAACTAATGATTTCAAAATTCACCTTAAAATACACTCTTGTTGAAAACAATTTGTGTATTTGATTTATGATAATTTTGAAGGATTTGGGTGTTTTGTAGATTTCTTTAGTTAAAAATACAGAAATCCAAATCGCATGGTTTTAGATGAGATTTGATAAGATTTTACAAAAATCATATAAACTTCCCTAAAATCATCAAAATTATTTAAAAACTCAAATCACTTTAAACTCTACTTTGAATACACCCCACATAGAGATTTTGTGGTCATTATGTTACTTGTTCCCACCACTATTCTTATATTTTTTTTGTTCGCAACAAATGTAAAAGTAATGTATTCAAACCATAAGAATTTGGGAGGGTGGCTTTGTTTTTCATAGGATTCACTGATTTAAAAAGTGAGAGATATTTCTCTTTTTTTGTTCAATTTTTGTCAAAAATAATTATAGTTTTGACAAATAAATAATTTCGTTAATTTTGAAGATAAAGCGAAAATCTATAATGTTTTGAAATAGGGTCTTAAATAAACATAATAAATTATTACATCCTAGTAACAATGTAACCCTAGGTTTTATTTGGTTGCATTTAGTTTGAGTTTATTTGGTTGAATTTTTGTAATGTTAAAGATCCATAACCGAAACCATATCGTTAAAATATATACTCAGTTTTTAATAGTTTTTGAATGATATATTCTTGATTGAAATTAGCATCTATTTATATAATGGGAGAGTTCTCTCTCCCTCTAAAGCTGTCCACATCAGCATTTTTTTTATTAAGCCCAACAAATAATCTAAACCCAGATTATTGTTTTTATTTGTCAAGCCCAACAAATAATCTAAACCCATATTATTTCATAGCTTTCTTTTTATTGTTTTTTGCATGTTAGTTTGTAATTTAAGCTCCAACACTTTTATATCTAAATTGGATTTATTTTTTATAACATCAAAAGGAACACATTGTTTAGTCCAATATAATATAAACCCAAAAAAGTTAATAGGTTTAGGTTGTCTCTCACTTACGTTCTTTCTTCTACGGATTTATGTCGTTTCCACTTCAGCTTATCATAATTTAGAAACTCAGTCCCTTTCTGATTTAATAATCGCTCATGAGATTTTTGTTTTTCAAATCTCCACGCCTAAGGTACTTAAATGCACAAGTTAATTCGAACATATATTAACAAATTCTAAACTCCATTTCATTGCTTCTTATCCCCAACTAAGTTTCGGTGATTTTACATTTATTTTGATAATATAGGAGTTCAGTCCGAAAAGGTTTAGCATATCCTCTCCGCAACTTCCTGACTTCCTAACATTCATTTAGTGCATAATATGTTATTTATAATTAATAAAAATTAAAGATAAAGAAAAAAGAATTTTACATAATGTTAACATAGAATTTCTTTTCATGGTAATAAATAAAGAATTAAAAATAAAAATATGCAAAATAAATTAAATTTAAAATAGTAAAACAAATACTATGAGAATTTTATTAGTAATGATAGTATGATTCAAACTCTAAACAACAACAAACTTTGAAATAATCATACTTTGAAATTTTAAATGTGGTAATATGTTTATGCATGGTAGAATAACACAATTTTTTTGTAATTTTACTTTTAGAATTTTGAAAAGGAAAAATAAATTTAAAGTGAAACATAAGTTCTAAAAAAATATTACATATTTTTCTTTATTACTAAATTTTAACTAAAAACAAAGTATTACTAAACTTAATTTAAAATACTCTAAGACGAAAATATTTGAAAGGTCACACTTTATGCCGTGAAATTCTATTACAAATATAAAAATTATAAAAAAACATTATTATCCATATTTTAAAATAATAAATAAATTATCACATTATTCATGAGTTTTACAATAAAATATATAGAAAGTCATATGTAAGCCGTAAAGTGATATGTAATTTGTGTAGCATATCTCAAAAAGAAAGTTTATTTATTCTCAAGTAGACCTATAACTTTCTAACATAATAAAAAAGAAAAACAAGTTTGATATCCCATCATTTGAATCAAATGCTTTTAACCCAAAATGGACTATTATTAAGGAAGAAATTGTTAGGATATGTCTTAAAAATCAACTCACATTTCAATATATATTATATGAGAGTTAATAGAAGGTGGAAATAAACTAGATGTCGAGAGGTAACGAGTGCATCGTAGAAAATCACAAAAGAATTAGTAGTTAAAAGCGATTGAAAAAGATAATGTATATGCTAAATTTTGAAATATTTGAGATCTCATTTATTGTGTGAAATGAAGTGAGTATTTCTAAAACTCAAGACATATTACTAGCTTCAAAGTCGGACTTAACCGTTAGTTATAGAAGTGAGATAGGATAGACACATTCATGACTTGGTCGAGAGTTCTCTTTTACCACAATGCACTTTTTCCGATAGATAAAGCAAGTTCGCTAAATCTACTCTAGCGACATGATACTATATATGTATCTTTACACTTAATGATGTATATGAGGCTCGGTAAGTTCGTGTTATATATAGAACGGTGTTATATTTGTATCAACTTCTAATCGTAAATGATATCTACAATGAGGATCATGATCTAAATAAAGTTTATGCAAAATAACAAAAAATATAATTATTGGATCCTATCGAGTAAAATAAAATTTAAAAAGTAAGCAAACTATTTAAAATTTTGATCGACTCTTAAAACAAACACAAAGAAATTTGTATGCATTATATGACCTTGGCATGACATGTCATAAGTTCATGCTCAATTGCAAAACATTTTAACCAAAAAAAAGTACTATGCTATGGGTTAATATTTTAAAATTCGAGATTCTCTGTTGATAAGACTCAAGTTCATATAGATAAAAACGACCTAACAAACAGAGTACGCTCCAGCTTTAATAAATTATATTTTAGTCAAATTTAAAAATATGACAATAAGAAAATAGAAAAAACAATATAAAAGAGTAACAAATGGTTTATCGTCACACTTTCCTTTTAAACTAAAGCTTTTAATCTAACAATATTAATACATGTATCCAAACAAAACCAAAAACATTAATTGAAATACGAGTAATGCATATAACAATAGCGCCACACGAATGAATAACTAAAAGTATAAGATTATAATATCTAAATATGGAAAAAATCAGAATATAGCCAAACAAATACAACACAAAATATATATACAATCATTGATCTTAAAAAATAACACCATATAAAAAATAATTACGGAAAAAATCATAGCGAATAACCCCGCGCAACGCGCGGGTCTCCTCTCTAGTGAGCATAATGTTATTTCGGTTTTCTATGTATATATATTAACTTAATCCAATTTAAAACTATCAATTTATATGGTCGATTAAAAAAGATGAGGTGGTAGTTTTAGAAATTTTTAACAATATAAAAAATAGTAAATGATAAATAATGTAAACTAATCATTAAAAAAGATTCAATTTATAGTCGTATAATTTTTGTATAATTTATTTATTTTTTTATTTTTTTGGACAAATTTTTGTATAATTTATTTATATTATTTTTTAATTGTCTGAAAAAAAAATTTCTCCAAAAAAAGTTAAGTATAAACTTTCGATAAATTTCTTGCAGTATGCCTTGATTAGTTTGATATATCAAACCTAGAATAGTTTGATACAGTATACTCAGAATCCAAATGTGAAATTTTCTATCTTTTGGAATTCCCCAAGTTCCGACCACATGCGAAACATCCACATGCATGATAATTTGGTTGACTTTGAAAAAATATTTACAATGGTTAGTCGAACGGTGTCAAGAGGGATGAAACACTACTATCTAATGCATGTAACTTGTAAGCAGGTAATTGTCAAATCAATGTAATAATTTATAATGAAATTTTTATTTAATTTTTGTTTAATTGCATACTTATCTTGAAAGTCATGAGTTGGCATTAAAAAAACACTTATCTGTAATGTTTCGTATTATATATGTCGATCAACTTGGAGCACATATACGACCAATTGATCATTATAATACAAAGTTTCTATGTTTTTGTCTATGTGCATGTTTGTATCAATGTGGACCATGTGGTGTTATAATTTTTGTAATGTTTTTATTTTAAATAAATTATCCGAAATAATATATTTAATTTTCGTTTTATAGAAAAATAATATAATACTACAAAATTGTTTTTGTTAGAAAATATAATATAAACAGATAATATACTTTTCACAGTTTAGTGCAGCCGATTTTAACCTACACAGAAGAAATAAATAAAATAAATGATTCGTACTAACTACTAAACATCGCTCAAAGTTGGATTAGTATCTGATTTTTATGTTTGCCATCTAATTAGCACAATCTTCATATCATAAAGATCCTTATATCGTGCTTTAAATTCTCAATATTTTTTTTTTTCAATTTGTTTGTAACAGCCTCACTACTAATTGCAATTTAATAGTTTTGAAATTTCAACAAACTTTTATATATTTATTGATAACCGATACTAATGGTAGATTAACAACAACGTCAACGTGCATGGTATTGAACTAAATTTTAGGTCTATGGTTGGAATACATGATCAAGTGCTATAATTTTTTTTTATATGTAGTAATTGTTTTGAATATAAAACTATACACGCATTCCATATATGCATTAAAATTTAAAGTTATGAAAGTGAATCTAGGAAAATGAATATTCCAAATTGTACAAACTACACAAGATAACTTAATTTTAAACAATTTTTTTTTACAAGTTGTATTTGTGAAAATTTTATATATCAACCATATGGAGATCATAGGTATTTCGTGAAAACCTGAAAGTAGACTTAAAATGCTGTCGTATGTACATGTTAATTTTTCTATTTTAAAACAATCGTGATCAGTATATTTGCCTATTAATAAAAAGGGAAAAAATCATGTTCAGGTATGTTCTTTACATTATCTAGAACAACCTATTGTGTAATATTTTTTTCATGCTTTTTTATTTTATATTATTAACCAAAAGTGTTGTGTTTGCTTTACGGTTAACGTCGTAATCGAAATGTTTTTTGATATTACTTTTTGGCTTTTGGAAAGTCTTCCGAGTCATGCTTGTACTATGATCCAACTATGTATATATTCAGCTTAAACGCAATTATACAAACAATATGATTAGTATTGTCATCAATATTCCATTCTCATAACCAAAAGATTCAAACATAGGATAGTATTTGAGATCAGATCATTGGTATATAGATCGTTACGTTCGGTTCACGTGATGAATCAATTTATGTATATTTCTCATATTCAATATATATGAAATGATATTTCCAATTACTAGAAGATAATTAGTATTTCGACGAAAAAAAATAAAAATCCCACATCTGAAATTTCTACTCGTACTAACAAAAGATTCATATTATATATATTTAAACATGCATCACACTTTTGAACAGTTTTGTTGTTAACACATATTGTTTTTACATGCATATACCAAACTGGAGATTTTCAATAAACAATTTTCCCCGATAAATTATGTGTTTACACTAATCTGTATTCTCTACAAATCAGATTCATTTTTTATCGTTTACTAACTCAAGTATAAAAGGCATCCACATATATTTCTTGTTCTTAAAATAACTGAAAACAATGTAATAATATAAGGAGATAAAACCTTACTATGTTTTCTCTTAAGAGAGGGGTAAAATAGTTTTAGTGAAATAGTCAAAGATTCAATTTGAGTATTAGGAGAAGACAACTTCGCTCTTTAAATATTAAAGTCCACGCAATGTGGAATTAACACATATATTGAGCTGCCTATGACTATATAAATACTATAATGATGCACATCATTAGTTATATGTCTTAATTATAGGATTATACAATGAATTATGATTACTAACATGGTGTACAAGTCATTATGGGGCCAATTGTTATCTAGTTATTTAACGTAAGGAGACTCTTTCGATCATTAAGCACTTTGGAATAAATTTTTCAAATTTCGATAGGAAATTTTACTCTAAATTTAAACTAAAAATCACTCCTTTATGGTACAAATTATCACATATATACAAATTAATTCGGAAACGATAAAAACAGTACATAAATATTAAAATTTGTTGATTTCAACAATTATATCAACCAGTTACTTAGCCTAAAATAAAAATAAAAATACAATAATCAATCTTATTTTGAAGCATACCATAGTAATTAAAATCGGATTTAAACAGACGATGAGTAATTAATTTGGTAAACCAGATTCGGTTTTCTCCATTGGGAGGTTCTCACCGATGTTAGGCGTCGAAGTTTCTATCGATGTTTCCCTTTCGTTCGCTTGCTTTTTCTTCTTCTTAATGCAACAACAACAAAGAGAACACACACAAATCACCAAGATCATTACCACCGCAGCTATCACCGGTGCTATGATTCTTCGAAACACTTTACCTACATGCATAACCAAACTCTATATATGTTAAAGATACTATCAAATGAAACCTAATCGAATTCGATCAAATGCATTTCTGTATAATCAAAACTCTATATATGTTAAAGATACTATTCAAATGAAACCTAATCGAATTCGATCAAATGCCTTCCAAGGTACATAAATAGGAAACTTGTTAAGTATACATTTACTTTTATGTAAATTTCTGTATAATCAAAACTCTATACAATCTCACACAAATTTATATAAATAAGTATATTCATAGAAATGTGTAAGTACTGTGTAACATAATCTAACTTTGATAGATAGCTCCCATCGTTGACAAATAAAAAAGAATCAAAATGTTCTCGTCATACGAATATACACATTGTAAAATGTTTTAGGATTAGATAACATGCATTTAGATGCAATTGTAGACAAAATAAAATAAAATAAAGAGTATATCCCTTTTAACCATCCTAGACATAGCCAAATACCCTAATTGTATTATCATAGGATGCATGAGTTGTTTTTTATCCATCAATTACATGTGTGATGTGTAGGTTAATTTCAGTGTAAAGACATAAACATAGACGGCAAAAACAACCAAGCGCTAGTGTATAACTAATGAATCTAAATCTTTATTAGTTCTCACCTTTCAACTTAAATGAAAATGAATCGTCGGAACTAGGACTATCATATTCACGGTAAAGACGTTGTGGGGGAGGCGGTGGCGGAGGAGGAGGGGGTGGTGGCGCCAATAAAGTGGCTCTATATGTCAACATACAGTTGGTAGAGTAAACCAACGCAAAACGCTTTCCATAACAACAATCTTCAGTCTCGTTATATGCGGATTTCAAGCATCTATAGCAATCATACTGATCCAAATCGGGAGTGCATTGCACCAAACCATATAGATCATATGCTTCTCCAAGAAAACTCACTTGATAAGTCTCTTTCGCAAAATATGAAGAGCTCGAGTAGGCTTCTCGTATCAACCCATCTATATGGTTTTCCACAGTGTTGATAAAATAAGATTGATATATCATGGTATCGTAAGTCGTCCATGTGACAAATGGCCCTTGATCAAGAATTGAGAATATTTGACGGTTGGAGTATCTGAGGAAGCATTCTTCATACCATATGATTGCTTCTTTTTGGACAGGACACCATATAAAAACATTTTTGGATGCTCTTGAGATGCATGTCTCACATGTTGAGGACGAGATATCTCCGCGACATAGATAGGTCCCGTACACTGTTGTGGTTGGGGAAGAACCCGAGGTGTAGCTGTAAAATCCTTTGTTGGATGATTGTGATTGAAGAACGGATACTAGAGAATCTAGATTGGATTTGTACAGACTGTTTGACGTGTAGTTGCCTGATGTGTAACAATAGCTGAGGAGATAAGTTGGTTGTGCTTTTAGGGTTTTGATGAGAAGGATGAATAAGACAAGAAAGAAGATGGACTTTGATTGGTGAAGGGGGTGAGACACCATCTTTGAAGTAACGTTGTTACGGTCATCAACTTTGATCGAACTATTTACTATTTGAATTGACTCTTCTTAAATACACTCATTTGGTTAGCGTATTTTCATCGGCTAAAAAAATTAGAAATACCTATATAGTACAGTTTTTTTCTCTCTTGGTCAACTTTGGGCAGGTTGTCCGATTTGACTTTTTGGATTATGAATTTAATAATGTAAATGAGAACGAGGTTGCAAACTTAAAAAAATTAAAAAATTATCTTAGCAATCAGATATTATGTGATTACTAAAAATTTTCAATTTAGCATAAGATATATTTATTTTTTCCTTTTTTTCCTTTCAAATTTACTTATTTTTGGACAATATATAAATGAGTTTATCAATATAAATTTACCAATTGTTTTTATACCACCTATTTTATTCAGTTGGTGTGAAGAGAATAGTTCGATAATATCTTTGAAGTTAAACATAATAATTCATTATTAAGTTCTACGACGTGACAACATAAGCATATTTTTCGGAATATAACTTTTTCTTATAAATTAAGCACGTAAATTATGTAAAATTATGAGGTGGCGATAAGATTATATAAAACACTAATGTCGGCCGTCAACGAAAACAAAATACAAACAATAATGTCGATCGAATGATAGATAATGGTTAATTAAAAAACATACAGTATTGTACAGGTCATCATGGGGCGAATGTTACAACCAAATCAATACACATAAAAACAACAACCTTTGAATAGTTTTCTAATCATTAAAACAAAAATGTTATTAATAAGTTAATAAAGATAGAAATTTATGCAAATTATTATGGAAACATGCACATGATACACTTTTGATTCAAGTGAAATAAACCGGACATCTTTTGTCTTTAGTCCCACTCAACAACATTCCATCCCAACCAACCTCAACATAACAGTTTGCGTACATCTTATGGCTCTTACTATGCCATGTGTAAACCTTAAACCGTATCACGGACCTTATCTCCAAACGGAACACTATCTTACCTTGGTTCCTGTCTCGTTCCATCTCTAACCAACGGTCTTTATTTACGGCCATTGTTGGTCCACGTAAGGCTCCTTCGATCAAGCTCGTGTTCTTCGGGTCTTGGTAAAACGGGTTAGTGAGTTTAGTCGAGCCGACCCGTTTCTCTTTGTAGTAAACGGATCCTTGCATGGAGTCGTAGTAAACGCGGACGTTTTGGTTCGGGTTATGAGCTGTTATCTTGAAGCTTATATGTGAGGTCTCGAACCCGTTGGATTGACTCAAACCCGAGATGGAGAACCCGCTGATATGGATACGTGGTCGGTGTGGTCGTAGACTGATCCATAAGATGAAAGTGACAATGCCTACACATAGTAGAAGAGATAAGAAAATGCCACATATGAGTTTAGAGACTCTTGTTGTGAGGCTTTCTTTGACCCGATGAACGATGTCGCTGGCCGAGCGGTGACGAGATATGGGACGGGTTGGTGGGTTGGCTCTGACCGGTAAGGAGTCGACCTTGTTGTGCATTTTGTGTTAGATTTAATGTTGGTGGGTCATGGGAAGTAAAATGAAGTGGATGTGTTGTGAAGTTTATGTAGTTATATTTTAAATAGTGGTACTTAAGTAAGAAGAAAGCAAAAGATACCTTGGAAAGTATTTTAGGTATTACACTTCGTGAAGAAAAGAATTGACAACTATATATGGATCAAAATCTTTAACTAAGTATCTACCCAAAATGTTAGTAGAAGATAGAGGAAACCTAAATATTACTATATGTATCTAGATGCTTATTTTGCAAAGATTTAAATTAGTACTAGTTTGGTATGTTTACATGTAATTTTATTCTCTAGAAACGATTAATTTATATTTTGGTTTTGGAGGATTTGAGGTTTCTTGTTAAAGGGACATTCTCCTGCAAAAAAAAGTACATATGGTAGATCAGTGATAAGAGTGCAAATTGTGATCGAATCATTACCTTAAGATACTACTTGTTTTGCTAACATGTGATGTGATGAAGCATTTGAGACCCAAAAAACATTTGAGACCCAAAAAACAAAATCAAGAACAATAATAGGAGGATCGCATAGAACCTTAAAGATGAGGGCTGATGAACTCCATCTAAGCTGAAAGTTTTCAACTGTCAAAGGCTGGTAATAAAAAATGTGATTGTCCTTGATGATATATGTGACAACTAAGCCATGAATCTCAAAAATCCTCTGTTTCCACCAAACAGAAGGTGAACTCTTTAATTATGGTCCTTTAACTTTTCTTGAAATTTCACTCATATGTTCCTTTGGCCTTTTCTTGAAATTTCACTGTGTCTAGAAGAGAAGGGCAAAACCAAGACATGCACCTAATCAGAATGCACCAAACAAGAACTATCTTTGCAACCCTTTAGGGAAGTCAGATAAGGTGATATGCATAACCTGAATGTTATTGATACCTGGTGATAAGGTTGATGATGCAATTGCAAAGATCAGTAGTATAGTGATTAAGATGCAATTGCAGAGAACATTTTCGTGGGAGCCACGGAAGACGTGAACCAACTCGTCAAATACACCACCAAACCCTAATCGTTCTTTCGACAAACCTACCTTACAATTTGAGGATGGTGTTGGCGTTTTCTGAAACCCTAAGATGACCATCATCTTCTTCCGTCTCCTTCCAGTTAGGTTTCTTCGAGTCTCCTCTTCTTAATATACTAATCTTTTCTCGTTTGATTCTAACTAGGTTAGAGTTAAGTTTATCGAGATGTCTCCTCAAATCTTCACTCGACAAACCCTTAAATTCAACCTATGTATTTTTATTTTTTTAATTATGAATAGGGATTATATTTTTGATGTAAGAAACAGAGATTATAATTTTCTTTAATGTCCAAATAATGAAATTTCTAGTATTATTTTTTTCTTCTTCTAATTTTAATGTGTGAGTGTGTGATCATAACTGGTTTATGGGATAGTTGAATTTGTTGTAATTTCTTGTTAGCCAAAAAGTTCTGTTCATTCTTTTAAAAAGGCCAAATTAGATAAATATATGGACTAGCTACCTTATTAGAAATTTTGAAAAAGCCCATAAGCCCAAAATTGAATCATTTTCCAATTTGTTTTGTTTTTTTTTCGAAAATCTTCTTCAAGCTATATTACAAAATAAGTCGAAGTCAAATAATATCAAACTGAGGAACTGCATAAAATATTTAGAGTAGTGATCTTAATTGAAAATTATCACAGAGAATTTGATATTAGCATGTTGCATAGTTACATATATATGAACAAAACTTAAATCTGAAAGAGGAATAAAAACATTTTTTTTATAAATCCTATTATTTCGCACGATAAGACTCAATTATTTTTATATTTTTTTTGGGCAAATGATTCAATTATTTAAGAAGATTAATTAATAACGTAAAATTACATTTTTTGGTTGGACCTTCGCCCAAAAAAAAGAAAAACTCATTTTCAGTGTTCTTATAAAACGACAAATACAAAAAAAAAAAAAAAAAAAAGAAGTCACAAAGAGTACTTTCTCCTCCCAATTCGCCGACGACTAAATCCAGAAATGGCGCCGCCGGTGACGAAGCGGTGGTGCTGTGTTTTGATTCTTATCTTTCTCTCCTTGTTCGTCCAATCTTCGACGGCCATTTATTGCGGTGCTGAAGATTGCTATGCTCTTCTCGGGTTTGTTCTTCAGCTTCCGATCTCCGTTTTCTAATTCAGATTCTGATTTTGTTTCGTTCTCTTAATCTGTTTCGCATTTTCGATTTTCAGTGTCGCTCAAGATGCGAATGCATCGGATATCAAGAGATCTTATTATAAGCTTTCTCTTCAACAGTAAGGATTTGTTTTAGACATTGTTTGATTTGTTTTTCGGCTTTGTTGTGATTTGATCTTGATTGTGTAATTTGCTAATTGTTGTTGTTGCTTTGATGAATTGATTTAGTCATCCAGATAAGAATCCGGATCCTGAATCGAAGAAGCTCTTTGTGAAAATCGCCACTGCTTACGAGGTACTTATCTTGTTTGATCCTGAATCTTGCTTAGTTCCATCACATTATACATCTGCTTATAGTTCTCAGGGATGATCTAGTTTTAGCTAATGGAGATAGAGATTTGGTTGGTGGAGTATGATTTTGTATATAGCTGAGAATAATGGAGTAAGAAAGTTCTCAACAGGGTTCTTTTTGATTGTTTGTCATCTTCTTTGCAGATTTTGAAAGATAACGAGACTAGGGCGCAGTATGATTATGCAATTGAACATCCTGAAGAGGTCAGTAGAAATTTTTTATTTGGCTATGTCAAAATGTCATTCTTATAATATGTGGGTTGCATAGGTAAAAGATCTTTGAAAATATTTCTGTACTCCTTTGTGTTTTCGTGATTAGGTGTTTTACAACACGGCTCAATACTACCGCGCAAAGTATGGACATAAGTCGGTAAGTTGTTATTGGATGTTTTTGATGACTATTCTCGCGGAAAATCATTGGCTCTTTTTTTAACTGATACAACTGCCTGATGTGTTTATAGGATCCCCGTGCTGTTCTCGTTGGTCTATTGGTGGTATTATCTGCATTTCAATATCTGAACAATGTGGCAAGGTATAATGAGGTATGTGTTAGAGACAGGGATTCTTTCACCTTGTATTGGTAGTCTAAGTCTCTGCTCCTTATCGTTTTTTTTTCTTATGCATGCCAAATCTATTCATTATATTTTAAGCACTAAGGATCACAAGTACTTATCTACATAACCCTGACTAAACAATCAAGATTTATTGGGGTATGCGCAACATATTATATCTATCATAGCATCTCATGAAACGTAGAATTTTTGAATATATGACCTCTTGAATGTGATTCATACACTTCTGTGCTTGCAATTATGAGAGAACTCTGTGTAGCTTGAACTCTTAAAGCGTATTGTTAGAAAACCATATAAGATACTGTCTTGTACTTTTACAAACTTGGGGCTTGTTTACTTAATGAAACCCTCTGTTTTGTTATGATGCAGGCTATAGCGACGGTTAAGCGTACTCCTGCTTACAAAAATAAGCTCAAGGCCTTAGAACTCGAACGCACGGGTGGAGTAACCAACAGGAAGAAGGGTTCAAAGCAGATCGACAAGTATGCTGTTCTATTTATTTAAATTGCCTTTATGAGCTGGGAATGGGGCATATAGCTGACTATATCATATGCACTTTTTGTTTTGGCAGAAAACTACAGGAAGAGCTGAGCAACGAACTTGACCTACAAATCAAAGGAGCTGAAAAACCGTCGGTCTGGGATCTTCTGGGTGTTAGATTCATTCTACTACCATACACTATCATCAAGGTTTCATGTTTTTTTAAATCGCTACATTTCACAGATTCCCATGTTTCCTTTCTCGAGATCACTGATTTACATTTATGTTGTCCTTGTAGCTGCTAGTATGGTATGGCAGCTGGGTATGGAGATATAAGGTGAAGAAAGCTCCTTATTCATGGGAAGATGCATCATACCTAACCCGAAGATCACTCAGTGTGCCTGCTGACGCATGGACTAACCTCGGTATCCTTCTTATTTGCTTCTGTTCTTTATTTCCCAAACCTGAACCGGCATATGGATAGATATGATTTTGTGTGTGATACAATATGATTAAAACGAGTTGTGCAAATTTGATAATTTTCAGATGAGTATAGGAAGGAAGATCTGGTACAGAAAAGGCTGTGGGAAAAGCAGAATCTTGAAAATTACTTTGCGGAAATGCGTAAAGAATCGAAGCGGAGAAGATAGATCATCATCACTTAACCAGGCAAAGGATACACAGGACAATTCAAGTTTCATAGACACTTTTTGTTACCATTATCACTCTACTTTAATGTTATAAGAGATCTGATCAATGAACCAGTTACAAGAAGAGACAGTAGTATAATTGTACCGCACCAGGAATCAAATATCAATTTGGCATATACAAGTTGAATCATGTCTGACAATGGACATGGTCCAGTTTTGACTCTCAATTTTGTTTAAACCAATTTTGCTCAGTAAATGTTTCAAATCTTATCTTCGTTTTGAGTTCTAAAGCGAAACATTAGTACTTCACGATCAGTCAAGAAACACAGTGAACCAAACAAGATCGTTACATTAGAAATGAAGGAAGCCGGAAACCCGTACCGAGTAGACATTAGTCAGATGATAACAACACAGATAATTTGTCCCAGTTATACAAAGTTGACATCAAAGGGACTGTTGGCAGAGTTGTTTATACATTGCTTTGCTTATACATCTTGGTGTCCAACACTTGCTTCCCGCACATTGCGCACACTCCTGCACAGCCATGAAGAGCCAATTCCATCAGTTATTGATTTACTCTTATTATAATTTCACTATCTAACCAGATATAAGGATTTGATTCAGTTAAACATCTGTATATACTATTTACCTTTGCTATAAGCACATGTGTGACAGTATTTACCATCTTGATGCACTTGCTGCTTGCAGATCATGCACTTCGTGGTACAGGTGCCATAAGGTGTCCATCTACACAGCAAACAAACATCAGAAGAAAAAATCAGAAGCAGCAACGAAAGATAACAACAAGAGCAACAAGTCTTAAACGGTGCTACAACACAAGAAAAATAGTACTAAACATTTACTGATGATTCTTAGAAGACCCTAGAGGAAACAAACCAATACTCAACTCATATAAACATTCCAAGGCTTACAAATTCACTGCTAAACTCATACGAAATTCTACATCTACGAATGATTCTTACAAGAACCTAGAGGAAACAAAACCAATACTCAACTCAGAAAAGACAATACAAACACCCCAAAGTGATAAATATCGCTGTTTCCATGAGAAGTTCTACATTTAGTCATTTACTATAATGATTCTTACAAGAACCTATAGGATACAAACCAATACCAAATCAAAAACAGAAAAACAGAAACACCACACAACTTACAAATTTATCGCTATTTCCATGAAAAGTTCAACAATCACAAATGATTCTTAGAAGAACCTAGAGGAAACAAAACCAACAATCAACTCATAAAAACACTACAAACATCCCCAAAACTTACGAATTCATTGCTATTTTCCATGAGAACTTCTACGTTATCTAAATGATCCATAAAAGAAACTACAGGAGACAAACAAATACATACCTAACAACTTAAACATCCCCAAATTCATACAAACTTATTGCTACTTCCATATTCAATTGAAGAACAAGAGTAAATTTGTAAGATGGAGAAACTTAAAGAGAAACACAAACCTATTCTTCTTGGAGAGAAGCTTGTTCTCATTGATCTTACGGCCACCACCTTCAGTTACATTACGAGCACCATCCTTCCACTTATCTGGAACAATCACTTTAGATAACTTCTTCTCACCTACAAAAGTTAAAACATTATCAACATCAAAAGGTTCATACTTTGAACTAAACTACAGATCCAAAAACTCATATTAGTGTGGTTTCGATCTAAGAAACCAAAATCGAATCAGAAATCGCAACCCAACACAATGATCGAACAAATTGAAACCGATTAAAGCATAGATTGATTCAAATAGAATATGAAATTCACTACGAATTAGCGAAGCTGGAGAGATCTGAAATGAGAAACAGATGAGATTTTTGATATTGCTTACACTTATCGCACACCATCGTCCTTCTTCCTGGGGAGATTGTTGAAGAAACCCTAAATCGAATCTAATCGATTCGAAGGAGTTAAGAAGTTTAAATTATTTCGTTTCTTTTCCTTTTTCTTGTAAGTCGGTGAACGCGTTTGATTAAAACGCGCGACTAAAGATGCAATCGCGTTTTATTTCTTTTGACGGATATTTTTGATAAATCCAGTGTAAAAAAAAAAAGAGATCGTGGCCTGAGAGATTCGAACTCTCGCGGGGAAACCCCATGTACTTAGCAGGCACACGCCTTAACCACTCGGCCAAAGCCACTTTTTTGAAATCCAGTGTAAGTTTCAGAACAGAAAGTTCCAAAAAAAATTATGGGAAAACGATACGTGTCCTCGTTAACTTTCATATAGCATCACAACCACACAGATTTTTAATCTCGATCTTAGTCCATCTAAAATGAAAGTTAAATTTCAGTTTCCACCCATTTATAAAGTTCGAAACTTCAGGCCCCATATCACAACTTCAATCCTCATATTAAAACTTATAATACAAAATTCTTAGTTTATCGTTGGTTTATAACATCAATCTGATACAAAACCAAAAGAAACCGAATTGAAAACCCAATTCGAATATCCCCAAACCCAAAATAAATTCCCACTCAAAAATTCCCTAATTAAGTTCTTAAGAACCCTAATTTCAATTTCTTATTTTAGGGATCTTGTGATTTTTGGGGTTATTGAGATAGTTAATCGGGTTAATCGAGTTAGTTTATCGGTAGATCTGGTTTATTTTTTGTTATTTGGTTAATGATGAATTTAGAATAGTAAACCAATGATAAACCAAGAATTTTGTATTATGGATTTCGATATGGGGACTGAAGTTGCGATATAGGGCATGAGGTTTCGAACTTTAAAATGGGTGGAAATTGAGGTTTAACTTCTTTCTAAAGATATTATTAACCTCATAAAATCCGATTCGTGCTTTTTATTTTGACAATTTATGAGTCCGATATAGTTTGTATATATTTTTCAATTTTGTAGATAAAAAATGGAATTTCAAATTGAGATACAATTTTCGTTAAAATTTTGAATACACTCATAAAATTTTATGATAATTTGAATTCACCATAGACGACCAACAAAATTTGCTTAAGACATTTTGTAAAATAATGAAATTTGTAACATTATGAAAAAGTTATGAAAGAGTCATTTGTTTCTTCTATTTGTAAAGAAACACGTTGTTACATATACTGTATATTTCATTAAAATCCTCTTCAATTTTTTTCCAAATTTTATTTTCTAGTGATAGACACTGATAGTGGAAAAAGTGTTGACAACATCTACATAATTAGAAAACAAAAATAGTATTCCAGAGTGTAGATAAAAAGAATTAAATATAAAGTGATATGCATATTTATTTTTAAACGTTACCGTTTGTGAATGATTGTGGAAACACCAATCATCACCTAAAATACAGTTTCACAATTTATTTCAATGATATATGAGCTTATTCGACTATCGTGATTATATACCATTCAAAGCAAGTATGGAATAATAATATAAAGCACTGAATGGTTGAGAAGAAGTACACTTTATTTCGATGATAGAAATTAAAGTCGAAGTCATGTAGAATCTAGGATTGACAACCTTCTTTGACAAAGACACAAACTGAAATTGAAACAACTCTATTTAAGAATATTAGCACCAAAGTGTAGCATTTTGTTTTGTTTCTTTCACGTACATGTAGTATTATTGAAAACATGGAAATGTGTAGCATTTTATCTAATGATGATGAAAATGTTTCTTCGATCAAACCGAAGGAGATGAACTAGCTAGGATTATGTAATGAAGATATTCACAGTAGAAAAGAGTTATTCAACTCATACGAGATGAGTTCAAACGAAATAACTCCTCATGTCAACAAAACCTAATCACTACGAATACACGGGTGTTAACGTACGTTATTTTTAAGCTTAGGTCAATCACCGACTCAAGAAATATTACGTATATATGAGTTACTTAATCTACGTACGGAATTATAAATTTAAATGATCAAGAAGTAAGACACATAATTTTTTTATATTAGACGATAGTAAGTAGAAATTACAACCATCTATGACACATACAGAAACAAACTGGAAACAACTTATTCAAATACTAGCACCAAAGTGTAGCATTTTTTTTTTTTGTCACATACACTGACAATTATTGAAAACAAGTAGAAACTAAAGACTCTCTGCAACATGGATGGGATTACTTCATGGATGTGCTTGTTTAGGCAGTCTCGGCTTTAGTGGTAGAGCCCTTGGTGCAGAAAGAAGAACATGCCGTTGCGCATTTTTCCACCGCTCCATTCACAATTTCACTTGCATCTTTTCACCAAAACAATAATAAACTAGATTAGCACTCTCTCATATATGTTTCCAAGATATATAATACTGAGCTTGATGGTTTGTTTTACCAGAGTTTTGGAGAGCATTCATGGCACCACACACAGATGATGTACATCCCAACTTGCAGTATTCATTGACAGCATCACCTTGGGTTAAATATCCAACAACAAAAAAAAAAAATTGGTAAGAACAGACATAATAAATAATGATAAAATAAAATCAAATAAAATAAAACTAATACCTGAGGTTTGGAGAGTGTCATGAGTAAATCCGTTAGGACACTTCCCGTCAACGATTTTGCATCCACTGAGTGATGCACAGAATGGTCGGGAGCCTCCTGTAAAACGGCAAGTATTATAGATATTTCTAGCAGACGTCGATGGGCAGCAGCTCTTTGCTTCAACTTGAATTTGTGCCATGACCAAACTCATTATGAGCACACTTAGAATCACAGTTTTGCCTTCCATCTTTTGATTGATAACTTGTTTGTTGACACTAGAGAAAACCCTAATGTTTAAGCTTGTGTTGATGAAATGGTGATGAAACTAGATGTGTTTATATACTAGTTGTTCTAAAAATTTGCACCACAGACTTCATTTCACACCTTTCTCTCATGCTCTATAGGCTGGCTGGACCACCCTATCACAATGGCTACCACAAACCATTTATCCTTCAGGCAATCTGCTCGAAAATTGCAATTTGTGTTTGGGAAAATCAAAATGTATCCATGAAAGTTACTTTCATTTGTTAAGAGGGAAACTAACGTTATGATCCGAATGATTAAATATGAACATATAGGGGTTCAGTCATGTCTTAACAAATGAAACTATGTAAGATCATCTTATATGACCTTAATCCATCGAAGGTCTTAGCATGCAGAGGCATTTTGTTTCTGTTCAGAGGAGGGGACCAAATAGTTTTATTATCACAACGTGTTTTTGTGTTTCCTCTCTCTATAAACCAACTCTCTTGTGCCTGTGGTAGCTTTGAGGTTCAAATTTTGTTGCCACCAAATAGATGTGTATTTTCTATTAAGAATAATCTTACTATTAGAAGGGAAAGTTCATGTGTGTTTTGTATTATAATATTTCTCCCAACTCTTTTTTTTTCTTTAATAGGAGGAATTTGGGTAACGAAATTGTTTTTTTTTTTAATTCTAGTATTTGATAATGTAAAAAAAAAAGAAAATAATTCTAGTGATGTGGAAATATTTATTGTCTAAATAATATTACATTTACAAATTTTCTAAAAAACACTTAGTTCAATCTAATATAATTAAATTAAGTATCTAAATAATCATGTTTATTCTATAAATTATACACATGATCATGAACTGAAAGTATTTATCAGGTTCAAAGTGTTGGACTTCAAAAGATCCTGAATTGAGTATGAAAAAACAATATATATGGTCAGATATTCATAATAGATTTATTACCGTTTCATAATCAAAGCCAAAAAAAAGGACATGGACAAGATATTTTGACGTAGAAAAATCCTTCTAACAAAAAAGAATATACACTGTTCCAAAAAATACATGAACATATCACAAGTTTTAATTAAGTTAAGCTGATGAACTTGAGTAATATTGTCTCTGACTTCGTAGCCACCACATCGGCGGCACTCCGAACATTTTCATATATTTTCTTGGAGTCTTCATGTATTCATCTGTCGATCTCTTAACACTTATAGAATTATTATATAAACTGCAAACAAGTCGGCACCACAAACTTCATTCTCGACACATTTATCTCATGCTCTCTGCAGAGTCTGTCCACACTGGCTGGACCACCGATCTCAACCTCATGAATCACTGGCTGGACCACCGTTTAAGGTGTCACTGGCTGGACCACCATAGCTAGGAGACGAACTCAGTTGATAGCTCTAATGAAAAACCAGGTCCAAGAAGCCCTAAAGTTGCTTAATACGTATTTTACTAAAATTAGAGATATAAATGATGTGTTTGACCGAATAAATTGCAAACTTCATAAAATTGATTTCAATCAATTACCATATACTAATATACAAAAGAACCAAACACCATAAACGATATCGTTGAAAACAAAAAAAATCATTTGTAAACACCTAAAGAGTTTTCCTTAACTTCTCTCTCTTAAACAAACTTTTGTTCTAACTTCTTAGTTTTCGTTATTAGACTATGTTTGAATCGAGATTTATGTGTATTAGAGATAACAATATCTCCACCCATTTGCCTTCAATAACAATATCTCGGGTCTTCCCTAATCTTTCCAGATTTGACTCTATAAACGTCTACTCTTTTTCATGGGCTTAAGTTCCTGAATCGATCTAAAAACTTTGTTATGATGATCTTGGTTCATGATGGGCTGATTTGGAGGGTGTAAAGCCCATCTCCAAAATCTTCACTCTATCATATAGGAACATTCTTTCAAGCACCCAACATTACTTGCTCACCTTTTTGGAAGTGGCTGATGATCCGAGGAAATTGAACTGGTTCATCATACAAGTAAGTGAGTAACCTTTATCCGGGAAGCATTTTATGATTTTGCTCAATAGATGTCAACACCGATACTTACCTCCAAATATTTTAGCTTCTCTCACAATATAATGACAAAAAAAAGGTATAATTTGCTATGTTTAAGCAATTTTTTTAATTAAGAGTAATTTTGTATTAGTAAATTACTAAATTAGCATCTAAAAAATATAATTCTACAAGTTTGACCGTAATAAAATGGAGTATATCATAATAAACTCTTCACTGCGCAAAATGCAAATCTCCACGAACCGAAACAATCCACGTGGATACATCAACCAATTAAAACATTCCACGTAGAACAACCAGCGAGATATTAAAAACCCCAAAGAAGTTCAAAGACCTTCTTCTTCAACTAGAGGCTTTCTGGTAAACGGCAAATACCCTTTTCTTTCTCCTCGTCTTCTCGAATCTGAGAGAGAGAGGGATGAGATCAACAATGGCGGTCAAATCAAAACTCGTCTCTCTTCTATTCCTCATAGCAACACTATCATCCGCATTCGCAGCTTCGTTTTCCGATTCAGATTCCGATTCAGATCTCGTCAACGAACTTGTTTCACTCAGATCAGCCACCGAATCAGGCGTAATCCATCTCGACGACCATGGAATCTCAAAATTCCTCACATCTGTTTCCACTCCTCGTCCTTACTCGTTACTCGTCTTCTTCGACGCTACTCAACTCCACAGCAAAAGCGAGCTTCGTTTACCTGAGCTCCGTCGCGAGTTCGGTATCGTCTCCGCTTCGTTTCTCGCTAACAACAATGGATCTGATGGAACTAAGCTTTTCTTCTGCGAGATCGAGTTCTCACGGTCTCAATCTTCGTTTCAGCTCTTTGGCGTTAACGCTTTACCTCACATTCGTCTTGTAAGTCCTTCGATATCGAATCTACGTGATGAATCTGGTCAAATGGATCAATCTGATTACTCCAGGTTAGCTGAATCAATGGCTGAGTTCGTCGAACAACGAACCAAGCTCAAGGTCGGTCCTATTCAACGTCCGCCGCTTCTTTCCAAGTCTCAGATCGGCTTTATCGTTGCGTTGATCGCTATCGCTACTCCGTTTGTTATCAAACGGATTCTGAAAGGAGAGACTCTTCTTCATGACCGTAGACTTTGGTTATCTGGTGCTATCTTCATTTACTTCTTTAGCGTTGCTGGTACAATGCACAACATTATCAGGAAAATGCCAATGTTTCTTCAAGATCGTAACGATCCGAATAAGCTTGTGTTCTTCTACCAAGGATCTGGAATGCAGCTTGGAGCTGAAGGATTTGCTGTTGGGTTCTTGTATACTGTTGTTGGATTGCTATTGGCGTTTGTTACCAATGTGCTTGTTCGAGTGAAGAACCTTAATGCACAGAGATTGATTATGCTTTTGGCATTGTTCATATCGTTCTGGGCTGTGAAGAAAGTTGTTTACTTGGATAATTGGAAGACTGGATATGGAATTCATCCGTATTGGCCATCGAGTTGGCGTTGATTTTCATCACATCACCACACTCTTGAGGAATGTGTTACAACAAGGTAATGGCTTTAGATTTTGGAAAAACATTTCTGGGAATTGAGTAATGATGTTTTTGGACGGTTTTGTGTTCCGATTTGATATACTTTTGAATCGGTGTAGTACTATTAATTTCAGATGGTTTTTAAATCCTTAGTGCTACTTTAGTATCTTGTTAAGTTATAATGAGTAACATGGGATCTTTAGTCAATGAAATCTAGCATACTGTTCTGTTTGATCTCTGTGTAGGAACCATATTTGGAATTTCAGATACTGTGATTGGTACGTTACCCACTTGGAGTTTATATCTGCTTTTAGTCTTGCTTCTTCATCTACTCAAGAAAGTGATTTTGTGTTAGTGTATAGAGTAACTGTGTAAGCATTATGGAACCTTATACATAGGTGTGACCATCTCATGTTAAACTCTGTTTGAGAACGGGTGAGAAAATATCGATTTGCAAGTATTGAGTTATTTCGTACCATCTAATATGGAGTCTTGATAGAGACATTGCATTGGCCATTGAGTTCACACATTTCTAAGATCATCCATCATTATGACTTTGATTGTTTGTTTGCGTTTATAGTGTAGTTTATTATTTTTCAAATTAATCTACAAGCATTCACAACAAAGTATGGTTGTTGATAGATTGTAAACGTAAATGTCACAAGTAAATGAATGTTCTCCTTTGGTGTATAATTTGCAGTGTCCATAAGATTTTCTGAAAACCTCAAAATGTTTCAGATTTAGATGAAATGATTTTTTTTGTGTTTTGAAATTTTTTTTCCTGTTTTTAAAATACACGTAGAAACTGAGGTTTGAAACATTTGAGGTTTTATATAGTTGTGTGATCAAAATAACTTTGATTTGGTTTTTGTTGAAGCAAAAAGGTTGATGAATATAATTGAATGTCTTCTTACTTCTCTGGCACTTGTATAATATTGACTTAGCACATTCGTTCCATTTCAAGCCCACACAAAATATTTGGCTTCAAGTTTCAGATGCACAATGTCCATTTCAAGCCCACACAAAATATCAAAATAATTGACTCAAACCGAAAATTTTCCACGATGCATTTTCTACCAAACAAAACACTGAACAGAGTACAGTTTCACTCTTAACCCTACTTGAACTCTTACAAAAAGTGCTAAAATCTGCATTGACATTGCGATTTTCACAGTTAACTGTAACGTCATATCAACTCAAATTTCGATAATTCTGTAGGATCTTTTTTTTTAAAGCTAAATTTTCTGTTAAAATTAAAAAGAAAGCTAATTGTTAACTTTTCAATAGAAACTTAAAAATGGTGACAATTTAGTTTTATTCGGCGCAGTGGATTTAATTTATGCTCTCGAGTCATACTTCTACCAAAGGCACGAGGTGTCTCGAAAGTGACTAAGCACATATTTCAACCTATATACAAAACACACACAGCCTGTCTCACACAGTCACATTGTATGTTATTACAATTTAAGACAATGACGATTGCATACACATACTTACAAATCTATACATACATAAAAAAAATATACATATATATTTAGAGAGATCCAGAATACGTGAAGGCCACAACTCAAATATCTCAAAAATGTGTAGCTTTCGATATCTATAAAGAAAAAGATTAAGGCTAATCATTTGATATGACATCAATAGAATTTTCTTTTGTTGTGCCTCACATAGATTATGAATATATTAGTCACTAATTAGTAATACTTGATATAATAATAAATGACAGCTTTCTTATATAGATTATTAAAGCAAAAAGTCGTTTGTTAATTAGTAGCAAAGATAGAAGAATATGTTTAGAGATGAGAATTGTTGGCTAGAGTGTATAATACAACTTATATAATATGGTGGAATCGATGTTTCTTAATGCTCCGATTGCTTTATCCGTGAACTTCCAAAAATTTTTTTGTCTGTTTTAGATTTTGTAGATATCATTTTCTTATGATGGTAACAAATCATCTGAAAAATTCCACAAAAGATCAAGAATCATGTTACAAATCCACAAAAGTATCGTTACAATTTACAAGATAATAGTTTATATCTTTATATGGTCATCAACTACTATGTAAATCTGTAGTGATATATAAATATTTAAATTAGTTTATAAAACAACATATTCAGATTATTGTAGTTTTTTTTTACAAGTTGTTGGACCAAATCTTTAACTACATCTGCCATATTGGTTTAGTTGATGAATGAAACAAATAATTAAACGCAACCATATTATATAAGACCTTTACACTAGTTGTTAACCACTATATATGGTGGTTAGTTTCCTCAAACGGCTTATATTCGATCCTATCTTTGCTTCATGGAATTATACTAAATGAATATATAAACCCTATTGTATACTTTTGTGAGCTATGAAAGTGATAAAGGCTGTCAATATATTGAGTCAAATATATTAGAGCCATCATCATTTTACATATGAAATACTCTAACAAACATAGCAAAAAATATTCTTGTTAAGAAGGGCTAAGGGTAGTAATGAAATATTCATCTAAACAATTTTAAACGGTTTAATGTTTATAATAAAAGTTTATGTGTATTTATACTATAATATAAAATTAATGAAATAATATGATTTTTTTTTCTCGGCAATGAAATAATATGATTTATAAATAAAATAATTAATAAACTACATTTTTTAAGTTCTACGAAAAACCAATGGTTAATTGCACATTATAAAGAGAAAAAAAACTATTTAATTTAGAGGTTTTATTCGCTTATTAGTATAATATTTGTATCTCACTTTTTCAACTCCAAATTTAAGTTGTTATACTGTCAAAATCCAGTTATTATAATTTGGAAAACTCAACTTTGAAGAATTAGGCATACGCAACATTTATATAACATTTATATATATAAAAAGTATAGAGTTCTTAATTAGACCATTTACATGCCATTTAGACAAGTATCATCCGCTAATCAACCAAAGCAGTCATATTCATATAGACGTCATATTGCAAAGACAAAAATACATTTTAAGATCTCAATCTTAATATGCATAAACACAGTGTAACACACTTTTCTGAACAATTTGTATTGGAGTGGATGATAAAATAGTAAACTCATGGAATTGGTAGTTGAACTAAAACTCATGGAATGGATCACCTAAACTTTTAAATAATACAATGGCTTATTGTCTTAACATCATCGGTAAACAAAAACTCAAAACACTATACTCCTTGTCCTTATCGGGTAACATATTCGTTTTTTCTGTTTTCTGTTATATAAAAAAATATACAAATATCATATATTCTCCAATAATTGATCAAGAATATACTTTATAAATATTTTATAGTGATATTATTACCACTACTCTTTCATGTCTCTCTTCCATTTTTTTTTTTTTTTGGTCTTTATAAATACTATTCCAATCTCAAACGAAAGGTTGTTTTGTCTCTTTTCTCTTTCTTCTTCATCTTCAACTTCATCTTCATCTTCATCATCCTCTCCAATCATTTCTGGTCTATTCGATTCATCAGTTAATTTGTTCTTGCTAACATTACCGTAAGAAGTTCTTTTGATCTTTGCTGTTGTGTTTGGATTCGAGCATGACTACAAGATTCAAAGGTCTTTATAACAAGAGCTTCAAGTGTTTCTCCGACATTTTTGGTAAACTCTATTAGTCTTGTTCATCTTTTATTAAATGGTAATGAATACTAATCATTAGAATGATAACAACAATAAGGATTACATTTTTTTAGATGTGGAGGAAGAAGAGATGGAAATTGGATATCCAACAGATGTTCGACACGTGTCACATATTGGTTGGGATAGTTCATCGAGTAGTGCACCTAGTTGGGTAAAAGAAGACATTTTTTTTCTTTTTCTTGCAACATTTAGAAATGATGGTTTTTGTTGATCAATTTCGGTTAAAGGTTAACCGGTTAATGGAATTATGCAGCTTCATGAATTCAAGACGAGCAATAACGTTTTAGAGCCAAACTCATCGTGGCCATTTCAAGGCAAGTTCTTTCTATTATTGTTTTAATTTTCTACATATTTATACTAATTTACTACTGATTGATGAATGCATAAATCCTAATGAATTAATAATTTATATAGATTTAAAATCAGCGATGGAAGCATTTGGAGAAGTTGAGAGCAGCAAAGAGATTGAAAGAGAATCAACAAAACAAAACCTGAAGAAGAAACTCTCTTCAAAAGCTTCTCTATTGTGTAATTCTTGGTCACCAAGATTCTCAAGATCAAGCAAGGTCCTTGCTTAAAATTATTTTTCATTTTTAATTTGTCATGCCATTGTTTATATAATAATAATACATATATAGCGAATATAGTGAGAGATCAATCTTAATGATTTGAGATACGTCTTTTCAAAAGTGTGTACAAATTAATATTATATATTGTTTTCGCAATGATATTGGACTGGTTTTACTAAATTTCACAAAGAAAAAGATCGCATTTGCTAATATCTCCTGTGACATGAAAAGGTTAAGTAAAATATAAAAATATACCCATCCACATTTATGTGAAACGCTTCTCTTTTTGAACTATAGTATGCACCTAAATGACTCTTTTTAAGGAAAACAGTTTTTTTTTTCTTTAGAAATTTCTTTGAGAAATCAAAATGTGCAAATCTAGTTTAATAGGTTGGTGAATCATGCCATTGTTTATATAATAATAATATATATAGCAAATATAGTGAGAGATCAATCTTAATGATTTGAAATATGTCTTTTTATAAGTGTGTACAAATTAATATTTCATATTGTATTTGCAATGATATTGGACTGCTTTTACTAAATTTCACAAAGAAAACAATCGCATTTCGTAATATCTTCGGTGACATGAAAAGGTTAAGTAAAAGATGAAAATATACCCATCCACATTTATGTGAAACGCTTCTCTCTTTGAATCATAGTACTGTATGTACCTAAATGACTCTTTTAAGGAAAACAGTTTTTTTTTCTTTAGAAATTTCTTTGAGATTTCAAAATAGGAGGGTGCAAATCTAGTTTAGTAGGTTGGTGAATGTGATGGGCGGTGCCGTGCTAAAATCAATGGAGGCTTAAGGCAAATTCTAAAATTGTGCCCTTATTTTTCTTTTTCTTTAGAGAATATTTTTTCAAAAATTTATTAAAATGAAATGGTTACCATTTTCAAATAGTTTCACTAAAAAGAGATTTAGTGAGTTAATGAAAAAATTAAAAGTTTGAAAAAACTATTTTTAAAGTAAGTCTCATTTTTGAAAAAAATGTAAACTTTTAGTTTTCTATATTTGTGTGACTTAAGGTAGATGCAACTGTTAGTTTTCTCGTGTTTAAGCTAGAGATGCCGTGATGGAAATAAGCTATATAAGGTTTGAAAACATCTATATTATTTTCATAATTACACAAATTTTGTATAGTTGCTATCTAGAGTATGGAGTTAAGTAATTTTATCAATTGTTTTTTTCTACTCATTTTTTCGAAAATAATACTTTATAAAATAGATGCTTATCTTTTATTTTAAATGTTTTCATATTTATTCATCTTGAAAAAAGCAATTATACCACACGATCAAATTCAAGTCCGTTCAACTAGATTGGTTTCGAATCAAATCAAAACAATCTAGTATCTTTTTATTTAATACTAATTTTGGTTGGAGTTATGTTAATGCTATTAAAAGTTGATACCATATTACATTTTGTGCGCTATAAAATTAAAAACTAAATTTCATATATTACACAATTCTTGAAAAGGCTCCTCAAACTCGTCATCATCAAACTAAATTTCTTAGCTTCCACATGCTCATGTGTAGGTTGTAACAAAATAGATCAATATATCACTATAGCTTAGTGGATATTGCATATGCAAAATTTTGAGTTATCATGGATATGTCTATTACAACTTACTTAATAAATTGTGTTTTTAATACTCATCAGATGAGATGAAATCATAAACAAAATAAGGGGCTTGTTGCTGCCCATTTATTATTTACTAATTCACTTAATTCGATAAGTAGATTACCCCATGGTTATATTCATTCTAGAAATAATAGTCGGTAGTAAAATCGTTATAAAAACAAGAAACGAAATGGGCCAATATTGATACTTCATCTTCGTTGATTCATTGTCTTATGCGGATGGATACTTTAAATGTCTTGACGAATTTACCAAAAGCTGATACTTCTTTGTTAAACATTTGTCTTAGCATATATTGTATGATCCGGCCCATTCGTAGATAAAATAGTAGCAAAGAAGGAATGTCAACGATATTGTTCAGTGACCATAAAATGTTAGAAAGATCTCATATACTGCCATTAGGCCCATACCTTTTTTTTTTAATTCATATATGAATCTCACTGTTAAAGAAAAACAAAAAAAGTAGCAAGACATGCATTGTAACAAAAATATGATGATAAACTTATAGAAAATGTGAACAGCGCAAACGAAAATGACTTGAGAATCAATATCATCCGTTGGTTGTGTCCAATTGCTCAATGAGGTAAATTTTATGAACTCTCAACCTTTTTTCATTTACCTTTTTGGAACTGCTAAAATTTAGCAGTAAAAATGTTAATATTTAAGAAAAATACTTATCTAATTTATATTAAAATATAAACAATTAAAAAATTTATTTATTAAAATTTAAGAAATTTCATGGTGGAGAGGAATCGATCATTGACTTACCTTCAAATCAACTCCTCAAATCGAAACCATTATTAGACATCTACAACCTCCTAGTTACATTACTAAACATTGTAAGAGACAATCTGCAAATTGAGTAGTTTCAGAATTCTTTATTTCCTTATCCCATTTGAGTAGCTTTTACTATGTTTCAGTTATGGTGTTGAACATTGTGTAAACGATGAACATCATAAGTCATGACTCTAATATTGTGTTACCAATTTCATGGTCATTTCAATATCTAATAGTTAAATGAATCAACGACTCATATTTCACGGAGCAAATGGCGCATGCAGAAAAATCCACCAAGTGAACAATTTGGAAAACGATGTTTCTGAGGATTCGTTGATTTCCCCGATATTACGAACTTTCCTGACAAAATTTTCCTAGCCGTCGAAAATGAACCAAATTTATTGCCCGACCTATAAACACACACATAAGTACATGCAAATGGGACACATGTGTTTGTAAGAACAAGTATTGGTAAAGAGAGAGAGCTTGTCGTGTAATGAGAGTTGCATGTGTTCAACAACTTTGTTATGTTTTGTAATCTTCCTTGGGAGATATATTCTACGGTGAGAATTCCATTTGCGAGGTGGCATCAATGGTGAGACCTTGTACGGCCAACATGTGACCAGACCCCTCTTTGTGATTTCAACGGTCCAAAATTAATATTACATTAATTAACATACACATACATATAACATTTTAATACTATAGATCCTGCTCCTTGTATTGTTTTTAGCATCGATGACGAATGAAAATGACAAACGATACATAGTGTTGTTCGTGATATTGTTGCCAAGAACGATATAGAAGTTAATTACATTGCCGTTGGTTTACATTTTAGATCTATCTATTTCAACATGATTCATTTTCATAACTACATAATTTTTTTATAGCTCAACCTACAAACTAACTTGTCTCATGTAAATTACGTACTCATTGATTACAAGAATATAATTAAGCATCATGGTTGGAATTATTTAAGTCCACAAAGGAGGAGAAAATACCAATCTTGACAATTGAAAATTTATATATAGAAAATCGAAGGAATAAAAAATCAAAGAGAAGGACCATGAAACAAGTTTAATATTCACAAATAAGACTACTTTAGAAAAGTTCCAAAAATATCAAGAATTTTAAGTTTAGGAAACGATTTCCACATTTTTATTGCGAAATATTAAGTCTAAAATTTGTAAAACTCTTTCCTCAATTCTGGAATCCTTGTTAAGCATGCATCAACTACTCGGCCTAAGTTCAAATGTGGTATTTTTGAGAATTTTGTAAACTCAATAGAATAAATATATATTCGATTAATAACCTAAAATAAGTTTTATTATTATTATTATTCTTAAATAAAAATTTAGAGAAATATATGAGGCAACAAAAGCATAAAAGTTTCAGATTTTTTCTTTTTTTTTAAATTAAAACAAAATGATGATAAATATCAAGAAAACAATTGAGTACATATACGTGTATATTATTTTCAAAATTGATCTTTGCTTCTTTAACATAACGTAACGTAAGAGCTAAAGACTAAACACTTGGTTTCTTCATAGTCATAAAACCTTAAAACAGATCTTCTTAAACGAGCTCATGCACCGCCTTCCACAAATATCTTCACGAATCTACCCATTACGATACAAACCACCAAACCTAATTTTAAAGGGTATTTTCGTAAATGCACATAAACCTAACTTGTCGTTACACTCAAAACGAAACCTTTCCCTCCTCTGTTCTCAATCTTTCCTATAAAGTCTCTTCTTCTTCCTCTTTCACTCTCCCAACAAAACAAACGTCTCTTCTCTTTCTTTCTCTGACAAAATCACAAACCCACCTCGAGACCATCATCATCTTCTTCATTAACCCAAGAAAAAAAAACACAATGATCTCTTCAGTTAAACCTACTTCGTCTTCTTTCTCCACCGCCTTCTCCGGCAGGGTTAGGCGGTCAGTTCCGACTACTGAGCTAAAGTTTTCTCCTTTAGTCAAAAACTTCCATAGCCAAAGCTTTAGCTCCAATGTTGTCTCCCATCAAAAGCCTCTACACATATCATCTGCTTCGAATTTCAAGCGTGGTGAGGTCAAAGTCCAAGCTTACGAGGCAGATCGATCTCGTCCGCTCGACATTAACATCGAGCTTCCCGACGAACAGTCCGCGCAGAAACTGAAAATCGGAATTTACTTCGCGACTTGGTGGGCACTTAACGTTGTTTTCAACATCTACAACAAGAAAGTCCTCAATGCTTTTCCTTACCCGTGGCTTACTTCGACGTTGTCTCTCGCTTGTGGCTCTCTTATGATGCTTGTTTCTTGGGCTACTAGAATCGCAGATGCTCCTAAAACTGATGTTGATTTCTGGAAAACTCTGTTTCCGGTAAGGGTTTAGGTTTATATCTTTTTCGCATATGATTGTTTCTTAACTGATTTTATCTAGTTTTATGCCTAATTTTCTCCAAAGTTTTGCTCTTTTTTGACGATTGAGGGCTCGATTTGTCGATTACTCTGTTTCCAGTAAATTACTTGGTAATTATTTGGTAATTACTCTGTTTTCCCTTTAAGATTTTAAGATTTACTCTGTTTTCACTTAAGATTTTTAAGATTTTTACTCTGTTTTCTCTTAAAAAATTTAAGATTTACTCTGTTTTCCCGTATAAATTTAAGATTTACTCTGTTTTCCAGTTGATAACTAGAACATGGTGGAACTTGTTTGTTGTTTTGATAATGAAGAGTGTGTTTTTGATCAATGTTTGTTTCTTCTTCTTATTCAAGGTCGCTGTAGCACACACGATAGGACACGTTGCAGCAACAGTGAGTATGTCAAAAGTAGCAGTTTCGTTCACACACATCATTAAAAGTGGTGAACCAGCGTTCACTGTCTTGGTCTCAAGACTCTTCATGGGCGAAAGTTTCCCTCTTCCCGTCTATCTCTCTCTCTTACCAATCATCGGAGGTTGTGCTCTCGCTGCTGTCACAGAGCTTAACTTCAACATCACTGGTAAAACTCATTCCTTTAAGATTGGTTTCTGTAACAGTTCTTTGATTTATGGTCTTATGTGAAAGTTTGTGGGGCTTTTGGCAGGGTTTATGGGGGCAATGATATCGAATTTGGCGTTTGTGTTTCGGAATATCTTTTCGAAGAAAGGGATGAAAGGGAACTCAGTGAGCGGAATGAACTACTACGCTTGCTTATCGATGATGTCTCTTTTGATCCTCACTCCATTTGCTATTGCCGTCGAAGGTCCTCAAATGTGGGCTGCTGGTTGGCAAAACGCGGTTTCTCAAGTCGGACCAAACTTTGTCTGGTACTAACTAAAACCCAAACGAATAATCTTTTTTTGGTATTTTGTTGGATTGGTCAATGTCTCTTATATATTGCTTTAGCTCCCTTCTACCTTTAAGATATAAGAATCTGAAATGTTTTGATATCATATTAGAAACTTAATGTTTTGTGTTTTGTTTGTAATATGAACAGGTGGGTAGTGGCACAAAGTGTGTTCTACCATTTGTACAATCAGGTCTCATACATGTCCCTAGACCAGATTTCTCCCTTGACTTTCAGTATCGGTAATACGATGAAGCGGATTTCAGTCATTGTTGCATCGATCATCATTTTCCATACCCCGATTCAACCGGTTAATGCACTTGGTGCTGCCATTGCCATTCTTGGAACTTTCCTCTACTCACAGGTAAACAAACAAAGTTTGTTCTTGGTTAGCTACCGAATCACTTTATGCATGATACTAGGATATATATATTTGGTTCCTTAATGAAATAATCAATCGCGGAAATCATCCTTTTTCGGTTTCTTAACATGATTCTTGAGTGGATATAAATGTATGGTTATAATGAACTTTTCTTTAACATTGTTCAACTGTTACTTTTAATTCTTGAGCAGGCGAAGCAGTGAGGATGGTTTAGGAGGCAACTTCTTGGGTTGATCTTGAAAAGAAAAGAAAAAGAAAAAACTAACAAGAGAGTAGAAAATATTCCGATGAGATGAACATCGGAAAGTACCTTTTCCCGTTAATGGATGTGAAGAAAGTGGAGCTTGAAGTTGATGAGCAACGTATGTATGTATGTATCTCATATTAGACTAATTAAGTAATTATATATGTATTACATAAGTTTTTTTTTTGCCTCTTCTGTTTTGTATTGTGAAATTTTGAACGATGGTAAATTGGTAATAAATAATAAATCATAGCAGTTTCTTGATCAGATGACTGCATATCCAATACTTAGTGAAATCAATACAGCCTAAATGCCTAATTACATGCATATAGGCACTAGGATAAACATCTAATCAAAATCTATTCCTTATTTTTTTTTTCTAAAAAATGTGTCTCAAAAACTGATTTTATAAGTTTTTACATATATCATTTTTTAGTTAAGCATGTATAAACAATATAATTCATAGGTTATAATTGGTGGTGGTGCTAAAGTTTAGAGAGGAAGGAATACGTAATTCTACGCTTGGTGAAGAAGTGAAATGAGATCAAAGTTTGGTGTTTATAATAAACTTAAAATGGTGTTTGAAAGAATTGAGGGATGATGTTTAAAAGGTTAACAATGTAAACGGATGCAGTTAGCTAGTTCGGGTTCCAACTAATGTTAATGAGGGATATAGTTAAAGAACAAATTTTTTTTTTTTTTTTTGGGTTTTAATGTGAAGATGAGAACATAATTTATGATCATGTGATGTGACTAACAGTCCATATATATCTTTAGTTCTATAACCACTTCAAATTTTGTGACACGGCCAAATCGTATTTACTTGCATCTATTCATGTGTTTGATTACATGAACTCAAAAAGGTTTAATTTTCAGGTATTTTCTGGCTACTTTTAGTAAGTAACTCACAGTGAGTACTATATAAAGCTTACTAAATCTGATATAATCTCCATTTTGTTTTCATTGATCTTCTGATGTTGTTGTAGTGGTCTAGTCCTAGTTTTAAATTCTGGATTCGGAAGAAATTTGGTGTCATCCCTAGTTACTAGAATCAATTCTTGAAAATCGAAGGTTTGTCCAAGATTTTTTTCATTTCACTCCACGATTGTCCGATGACATACAAACTAAAAAGAAAAAATAAATGCATGTAATCCCAAAGTAGTCCAGCAGAATATAGTTTAGTTACAATTATTTACGTGCATCGAGTCCTATAAAATATTATGGACTTTGCCCCAATACATCAAGTTCTTAATAAGAAACAAAAAGATAACATATAGGAATTTCATTTTTTTTTTTTCTCAATAACAGCATTTTGCATCAATAATGTAGCCAAAAAAAATAAAAATACAACGTGTCGAGGAAGTTACTGTAACTAACTTGTGTTCTACAGTGTGAAGAAGCATTATTTCGTCTATTATTACATGTAAAAAAAACTTAAACCGGTGTTACTCTGAGTCATATAAGATAAATGTTAAATCTTTACAAAACCAAATTCAAGATATAAACCGAAAGAACCGTTTTTAACCGGCGTTATATTGACAGTTTCACTAACCCAGTAATTTGAGAGCTTTAGTTCGGAAGGGGTATTTTAGTAGTTTTAGAAAGTAATGGTCTATAGCAGGTAAAAATGGAAGTGTCTCTTTTAAAAAAGTTTCCGTTACGTAAGTTAAACTATTTAGAATTGACTCTTTAATCTCGGTAAACGGTAATAAGTACTTAAAATTCTAACAAGCTAAGGGCATTTTAGTCATTTCCTTTATAACGAGTATACGAAGCTTGCGTTTTTTTGAAATATTAATCATCGTCTCTCTCTCGCAAGCTCTCTTTTCTCTTCATCGACTCAAACCCAAACGTCTCAAATCTCTTCGCATATACAAATCCTTCCTCTAATTTTTATCAATTTCTTTAATTTTTCAATTTCAAAAGCGTAATTTAGTCTTATCGGATTAGGGAATCAACATATCTTCGTTAGGTAAAACAAAATCCTCTTCTTCGGCATCTCTCGCTTTTGTTTTGAAACCCTAAACTCGCCTTTTCGCATCTGTAGAAGTTGAGTACTGGCGGCTTTGTTTTTACCACCGACGATCTATACGGTGATCGATTCTAAGGTTAGTCAAACGAGATATCAAACACTCATAACTAGGGTTCCGTCGAGGCAAATTCTGATCTTTCTCATCTGTTTTATGAATCGTATATCTCTGTTACTTGATTTGATTTTTGTTACTGATACTTAGTTTTATCCCAAATTAGTATGTTTATCTTTATAAGCCCAGAGGTCGAATTCGTTTTTGTTATTTCATGGATACTATGATGGTTTTCTGATTTGTTTGATTTGGTTTTGACAGGAAGATCAAGGCGATTCTGATTCGTTATCTTCAAAGAACAATATATCCATGTGAACGTCGCTTAGTGTAGAGAAAGATTTGGTAAAGGAGAAACGTTTAGTGCTCCTCTGTTTTTGGTTTTGATTTGTTTTGCATCACTGTGTCTCTGGTTTGATTCTTTCTCTTGTTTCTCATGGTTTTCTTCTTTTTGATGTTACAGATTGATTCAAGTCTTTGTTAATTGAAGATAATAAGAGACATACAATTCGTGCAGTCATACATTGATACATACATTCACACATTCAAGCATCCATACATACATTCATACATTTGATACATTCATACATACATTCATACATACATACATTCATACATGCATACATACATACATTCATACATTTCATACATACATCATACATTCATACATACATTATACATTCATATATACATTGTACATACATTCTCTGTTTTAAGTGGCTTCTTTAGTATCAGACCATTATATATTATATACATTAATACAACACAAACACTACTTTTGTTTTTCGTTATTTCAGTTGATGAAACAGACATTAATTTGTAACCTTATTTTATGTAAAATTCATTTTCTCTGGATGTAAGATTTTGTTAGTTGTTGTAATGTGATACTTATTAAAACTTTTTATACAAAGAGGTTTTTATAGCAGCAAGTTGTATGTTTTTCTTATTAGGTATTTTCTTCCTATTAATGTTGCTCTTTTATATTTGGCATCCCTTTCTAATGGAATGTAAACCTTTTATCTATTTACGAATTAATGGCTGTTCAGAAAGATAGAGAAGGAGAGAGCTCTCAAGGATAATCTCATTCATCTATGAAATGAACTACTTGCTTAGATAACCTAATTATATGGGCTTCTATTAGATTTGTCCAATGTCATAAACTCATAAACTCATAACGTGACTTGTTAAGAATGTTCCACTAGTTATGACGGGAGAGCCCATTACATACAGCAATACAGGTCATCTAGGGCCCGAGTAATTGTTTAAAAAGACTGATTCCAACAAGATGTACTGATGTAGTCTGTGACACTGTGTTAAGGTCTCATGTGGCATGAGCACATCATCTCCAACAAACACATCTCTCAGTGAACGTTTGATTTAACAAAATTACAAAATGTGAAACTGGTGAGAAGAATATATAAATACGTAATTAATAGTTTACTAGAATGTGATCTTATTTTAAGTGAATCGCTAGTCACTGTAGTGAAGTTGGTGAAACGACACCCACCAAAAAACGCATACGTAATTCAAAATTCCAATTATTTTGAGCTAATCTTGTCGGCAGACGAGATGGGGACAATTTATACATATCATATCCGAGGAGGGTTGGGAAGTTGTTGCCAGTCAATTAGTTGATGAATAATTTAAGGTTTGGATCAGATTTTCATTAAATGTAAAACTTTTTGGTCATTATTTTTTTTTTATATTTATTCTTTGTTAAATAAAAATACAAGTTTCTGCATGTTAGATTGGTTATTATTCCAACTGATCTTCTTTTGTGGTGTAAATTTATTTACTATCCAGTGTACAATCTACATCTTAGGAAGAAAACACATTTTTTTTTGCATGGACAGTAAAAGAAGATGTTACGTTCACTTTTGATTGGACGTGATGGAGCTAGAGAGCTCAAATTCACAATAATCATATGGAACTAGGAAAATTTGGTGTAATCAAAATATCTTTGTAGAGGAAAGGAAAATGAAGTTTCTGTCTATATATGCCTAGATATTACGATAATTTGAAATCTTGTAGAATGGCTAGTTGGGCTACTCTGATGACTGATAGCCACAAAATATATATATCTTCAAAAATAGATTTGTATCACTCACACTATGGTCTTATCTTTCTAGGGGATTTGATTTTGACCACTAAAAAGAGTACAACAAGTCTTCTATGCAAGTCTCGAAGGAAGGAAGACAAACGTTACTCATGGAATCTTATCCTTTCTAGATTTGCTAACTAAGGCCAAATGACCAAATAAACAACGAGAGGTCCTCTTTTAAGTGTTTATTCATTTCTGATAAACTACCTACTAATACCACCGACTCAAATGACTTTTAGCTTTTATTTTCTTTGGTTGATACTAAAAAATGTATAAGCTTACATCAGAAAGGCTTTGAGACCCGAGTACGAGTGTGATTTTTGTATGATTCCGATTTTAATAGTTAGTAATTACAAAAAATGTGGTTTTGGTCAAAAGTAGTGGTGTACCTAAAGCTGCAGATCAATGTTTCAAATTTTATTTTATTTTATTTTTTTCGCTAAAAATTTAGTGAAATACATCCTTGGTCTTTTTCAAATATTTTTGTTGATAAAAATAAAAATAAAACTATCTTTTCTTTAAAAAAAGGTAAAAGCAAAGTTAGGAAATGTTTATTTATTATCCTAGGTATATTATTCGTGATTCATTGACATTTAATGCTAAAAATAGAGCATGTCACTTAGAAATGATCTCTTTATTCTTTAAATTATACGCCAAATATTATAAATTAATTAAAAGTTCTCCTTTCTATTACTTTAAAACAATGGATTCGTTTTAAAACTATTTACAAAATTCTTAATTAATAGAAAACTTATTTTTGACATGTAGCATCTTACTAGCAGAATTTGTACACGTAAAATCTGATTATTCATGATTGACCAACATTTTCCCGAACAGTATTTATTTTAACACAAATTGTAGGTCATATAGTTTAATTGAAAAAAAAAATTGTTCAAGTTAAAAAATTGTTCATGTACGAAATTAGCCATCTACGGTCACCTCACCTACCACAATTTCTAGAACCAAAAATATACAAACAAGAACCAATCAGCTTTTCCATATAGACAATTTTAATCGCTATGTAAACTTTTTTGGACAACACTCAACTAATTGCCCCCAAAATTTTATTACTTATAAAAACTCAGCTGCTAAGGCCAAACAGAGTTATCTGGTGTAACAGTTTGAGAAATATCGTTTTATCGAGTCGTAACCCTCATGGGCCTCCACTTTTGACGTTACGCTCTTTATCTACTTTTGTTGTTTTCTATATTTAGTTTGGAGACTTTTCAAGTTGCTTCTTATATATCATACTCAAATATTTGACAACTTCTCATATATGTAGACCAAAATATTACACGTTTCTTACATGTACACATATATAAAATAGTATTTACAAAATCTTTGAAGACACACAAGAGAACCAAAAGAACAATGAAACCTTTAACCAGTTTCGTATTTATCATAAGCTTATTACAAAGCTTATTAGTTCATGGTTCTGGTCGTTATCATCATCAAACTTCTTCAAATAACATTTTAGAAGATTCATCTTCAATTTTTCCTTCTGATTTTCTCTTTGGTACAGCTTCTTCTGCTTACCAGGTACTTATATATCTTCTTCTTTCCTTTTTGATATTTTAATAATCAGTTTTCTTGAATCATTTTCTAATATTTAAAACTTGATGTAATAGTATGAAGGTGCGTTCTCGACCGATGGAAAAAGTTTGAACAATTGGGATGTCTTTACCCATGAAAACCCTGGTATGCATTTTATCTTTTCATAACATTTTTTTTATATTAGTCAAACATTACCTTAGTATTTTGGTTATTCACTTTATCGATTGAGAAGAATGTATTGTATTTTGCTTTCGATTTAGTTTAGCTTAGAATTTTGTATTTTTACATGGGAATTTCAGGGAAAATACTTGACGAGAACAATGGAGATATAGCTGTGGATCAATATCATCGATTTATGGTTATTTTTCTTATTATAATTTCGTTTCCTTCTATTATTTGTTTTCGTCAACTTCTTTTGTTCTTATTATATTTCTGATATTATTTTATATTATCTACTATTATATGCGTAGGAGGACATCCAATCGATGAATTTCCTTGGAGTGAACAGTTATAGATTTTCTATTTCTTGGAGTAGAGTTTTACCTAGTAAGTCTTTTTTTTATTACCTAAATCAGTAATTAATTTTTACTTAAACCAGTAATTAATATTTTACTTAAACTAATAATCACCATTACATTGCATTGCTTGGTAATAAATTGAAAAGATTATAAAATAACAAAAGCTTATTACATTTTGTGAAACAGGAGGAAGATTTGGAGAGATTAATTATTCGGGAATAAAGTATTACAACATATTGATCGATGCTCTCATTAGTAGAGGTCCGTTACTTGTCTCCTCCGCTATCTAATTAATATGGTTATCTATAATCACATATTTAAAATTATGCGTGTAGTCTAACTTAATATTTTTATGTTTGTTTCCACTAATTAATCATTATCCAGGGATTAAACCATTCGTGACGTTAAACCATTTTGACTATCCTCACGAACTCGAGAACCGGTTTCAAAGTTGGCTAGAACCCGAGATGCAGTGAGTGGTTAACTAAACTTAATTACTAATTAATATTAACCCTAATTAATTAGTAACAATAAAATGCAACTTATGAACAGTTTCTGTTTTGTTTTGTTGGTTTGCCTTTTATTTTTGATAGGATTGAATTTGGTTATTTAGCTGATTTATGTTTCAAGCATTTTGGGAACCGAGTTAAATACTGGACCACGCTAAACGAACCAAATCAACAAGTCATCTTAGGCTATGTAACGGGTTTATTTCCACCGTCTCGTTGCTCCTCACCGTACGGGAACTGTACTAGGGGGAATTCAGAAAATGAACCTTTCATAGCCGCGCATAACATGATCCTTGCACACGCTAAGGCAGTCAACATATACCAGACCAAATATCAGGTAATAAACCCTTCTATATATACATAAAATCTGATGTTTTGTTGTGAATTATCGATATATGTATGTATAATGTTTTTGGTAGAAAGAACAAAAGGGAAGCATTGGAATTGTAGTACAAACTTCATGGTTTGAACCCATTAGTGATTCCAATGCGGATAAAGAAGCTGCTGAGAGAGCTCAGTCATTTTACTCGAATTGGTATGAGATCGTATTTTTTAGAAATGAAGTATAGATCATTCACCTATACAATATATGTTATCTAATTTATTTGTATTCTAACATATATACTAGGATTCTAGATCCCGCCATATATGGGAAATATCCAAAAGAAATGGTAAATATTCTTGGAGCAGCTTTGCCGCAGTTTTCGAGCAATGAAGTAAAGAACTTAAAGAACTCAAGAGCAGATTTCATCGGTGTTAATCACTATACAAGTTACTTCATTCAAGATTGTTTGATCTCTACTTGTAATACCGGGAATGGAGCTTATAAGGCCGAAGGATTTGCTCTCAAATTAGACCGAAAAGGCAATGTTTCTATTGGAGAACTTGTAAGTACATTATTCATTCGCAGCTTGTTATATTCAATACTCACGACTATATTCTAACCCCTTTATAAATAAGTTTTATGGTTTCAGTAACACTTGTTTTTTTTGGTATGATATATAGACCGATGTAGTATGGCAACATATTGATCCGGAAGGATTCCACAAGATGTTAAATTATTTAACAGATAGGTATCCAAACATACCAATGTTCATAACCGAAAACGGTACAAGACCTCTAAGATTCAATCAATGATCGATTTTTAAATTTTTGTATGGACAATTATATATCATTAATGGCTTGAAGGTTTTGGAGACTTGCAAAAACCTGAAACAACGGATAAAGAACTTCTACATGATACAAAAAGGATACAATACATGAGTGGATACTTGGAAGCTTTACAAGCAGCAATGAGGTAATTAGCTAGTGATCCAGTTATGAATTTTGATCAATACATTTGGTTAGTATTTTGAACTACTTTATCCAATGCCAATTCGATAATAAAGTTGTGTTTTTTTATTTTATTTTGTTGTGGTAGGGATGGAGCAAATGTGAAGGGATATTTCGCATGGTCGCTATTAGATAACTTTGAGTGGTTGTATGGATACAAGCTTCGGTTTGGTCTATTCCATGTTGATTACACAACTCTTAAAAGGACACCAAAACAATCAGCTTCATGGTACAAGAACTTTATCGAAGACCACGTGAATAGAAGAGGTAGCGCTTGTTGATGATTAACAAATAGTACATTATTTTTTTTTTAATTCGTATTCATTGTCAAACAAAGTCAAACTACAAAATTGTTTAAAAATATAAAACTTATCATTGTGAAATGATTAAAGTTTGTTTTTTTCTTCTTAAACTGAACGTTTGATGTGTTACATGATTATTTGTCTAATGGTACACGATAATTTAATAAACGTAAACGAGTATCGAAGAACACGTGAATATATATATAGAAGAGAAAAGTACCCATACACGTACACGTTTATTGGTTGAATAGTAATCTATTGAACATTTCTATTAATATGATATATATACTTCATCTACGTATTGCTTACAGTTAGTGAGTTACAGATAGACTATGGATTTAATTAAACAATCTAAAGAAAAAGACAGAATAACAAATGATAACACAAAATGATATAATAGCAAAATGGGTTGTAATCAACAATGTACATATATAATAATATGGTTGCGTGGTTGATGTGTTCCTATGGTCTTTTTACGACAAGATCGTTTCTAGGTACATAGAAGTCAACTTATCTGCCATATAAACTGTATAACAGTTAAATCAGGTTTGGTTTTAAACTTCAAAATTTGTTATATAGGAAAATATAAGTTTATTTACCACCTTTTCAATAGACAATTAAAAAAGTTTGCGTGGTTGAGTTAATCATGGTATGGTCGGTCCACATCTTTGATAACTTGAAATCTTCAAATTTTATGATCATTTCTCTGAATTTATCTTCTTATAGTATAGACCTACAAAAGAAAATAGATATATACTTCAAATCTTAAATCAAGAGAGAAAAAAGTTGAATAAGAAGAAGAAGAAGAAGAAGATGTTAATTTATAAATCTACTAAGATCATCCTTTTTTCTCTCCTATTTTTCATATTTCTTGCAGTATACGTTACCTTGTTCTGCGAAAACTTTTCAGACACTGAAAACTTCAAAAGAAGTAAGTTGAGATACGAAACTTCCAAAGATAGCTACGAAGTAAAGAGAAGCCACGTCACAAACCCTATCCTCCTCAGCCGCCGGACCATCAACTCCTTAACCAAAACGGTCAACAATCTCGGCCGGACCACCACTTCTTGTTCGGAACCGTAAGTGTTTTTGTTTTTATTTGCTTTTAGATCTCTCAGTATGTTGCAACAGAATTTGAGTAATTGTATAAGAGATCAAAGTTTTGAATTAGTCGTGTCATAAAATTGTAAATTATGGCGACGGTTGTTAAAATATTTAACACGCGAGTAATATTAAAACATTTGTAAATGAATTATGTTGGTTGTTCAAATCTCAAAAGTTGGATAACACTAATTGAATAATTTTTTAAACCGTCAATAACATGAGATTTTAGTGGGAACTTATTGTAAACTAGTAGGTTTTTTTTTTTTTTTTTTGGAACAAAATTATAAACTAGTAGGCTATAAATCATGAAAACGTTATGTTTCTTTAATTTTCTAATATCCAAATTTTCATAATCTCTTCAATTTTATAAAAAGGTATCATTTTACCATTTCTACACAGATTAATAAATAATACTATAAAAAATTGTGTTATTCTTTTGTTAAAACAATAAAACACTTTATGTCTCTAATTAATAAAATGATCTACATACCTGAATTAATAATACAAAATGATACTTTTTCTGAGACAAAAATAAAGTTCAAATATATATATATATATATATATATATAATTTGTTTTTGTTAAACGAAAAGAAGATTTAATATAAAAATATATCATAATATCAGAAAATGTTAACGTAAGAAATTAGATGGAGTTGGTAGGCACGAGTTCATCTCTTCATTTTTTTTATGATAATTAATGCATATGTTCAAATACCTTTTAATTAAAATATAAATGAATTCGGAATGCTTTATCTTCATTTGTAACCAAATTGATGTATAGTTTATGATATTTAAATAGTTTGAATATATTCGTAGTAGGTAGAAATTTGGGAATTTTTTATATAGTAGACAAGGCTGCCCCAAATCTCAATAATGCATTAAAGCAATTCTGCAATTTTCATATAAATATAGACACGTATAGATAAGAGTTCGCACCAAACAGCAGAAGACAAACACAAGAAAGAAAACAAAAAATGAAATGTTTTGCCAACTTTGCAATTATAGTTTTATTACAAAGCTTATTGTCTCCACTTTACAGTTCATGTCTTCATCAAACACCAAATGATTCATCTCCATTTCCTTCTGATTTCTTCTTTGGCACAGCTTCTTCTGCTTACCAGGTTTCTTTTTTTTTCTTCTTCTTCTCTCTAATCATATTTTGGAGTTAATTTATGATTTTAGTTTTTTTTTTTTTTTTTTGGATGTATGCAGTATGAAGGTGCTTACTTAACCGATGGAAAAGGTTTGAACAATTGGGATATCTTTGCCCATGAAAACCCTGGTATGTATGTAAATTTTTTTTGGTTTAGATAAGCTAAACAATATGGTTTTAATGTTTTGAATGAATCTTGTTGTTTAGTTCTGGGTTCAAAGTAAGTTTGTGGTGTTTCTATGTGAATTAATTTTTTTGTGTATTCATGCATAATTAGTCATAGTTTAACTTTCTTTGATTGTTTGGGTGGCAAATTTAAAATTTTATAATTGTTATGCATGTTTGGTTCATTGACCATATTATATATTGGAAAATTCAGAGAAAATACTTGATGGGAGCAATGGAGACGTAGCTGCGGATCAATATCATCGATATATGGTTAAAACATTTTCATATTAATATTCTGTGCTTCAGTTCATGTTCCCTTATAATATATATTTAAAAATAAAATAAAAATTGTTGTTTACTTTTATTATTTTGCTTTGAAAAATAGAGATTTTTATTATTTTAAATCATCTATATTATATGATTTTTCTTCTTTATTGTTTTGACATCTATCTACTTTGTATGAATACAGGAAGATATCGAATCAATGTCCTTTCTTGGAGTCAACAGTTACAGATTATCGATTTCTTGGTCTAGAATCTTACCAAGTAAGTCATGATTTGTAATAGCTAAATTCAGATATCTAAATTAAACTGATATTTTTGCTTGGTTATTTTTTTTTTATAAATATGGTTTATCTTATGAAATACAAAAATACCTTTGGATTTGTGAAAAAAAAACAGAAGGGAGATTTGGAGGTATTAATTATAAGGGAATAAAGTATTACAACAATTTGATCAATGCTCTTATTAGTAAAGGTAATATTTTACATTTTTTTGGTACTTGTTAATTTATTACTCCGAAAGATTAATAGTTTAATACATTTCATGTAAATGGTTACAGGGATTACACCATTTGTGACGTTGAACCATTTCGACTATCCTCAAAACCTTGAGAACCAGTTCAAAAGTTGGTTAAGCTCCGAGATGGGGTGAGTTGTTAACTCAAGCCTCTAACTAAATTAGCTACCATTACTAACTAAAACTGATTCTTTAGTTGTTTTTTATCAGGAAAGATTTCGGGTACTTAGCTGATATATGTTTCAAACATTTTGGAGACCGAGTTAAACATTGGATGACAATAAACGAACCAAACCAACAAATCATCTTAGCTTATCAAAAGGGTATATTCCCACCAGCCCGGTGCTCCAAGCCATACGGAAATTGTACTCAGGGGAACTCAGAAACTGAGCCTTTTATAGCCGCACATAACATGATACTTGCACATGCGAAGGCGGTTCAAATCTACCGAACCAAATATCAGGTAACAAGCCAATAATAATATCCATATGATTCTTAACTAGCTAGCTAGTTTTGTATGTACTTATACCTTATATATACGCTGTGTTTGTAGAAAGAACAAAGGGGAAGTATTGGCATTGTGGTACAAACGTCATGGTTTGAACCAGTAAGTGATTCCATTGCGGATAAAAAAGCTGCAGAGAGAGCTCAAGCCTTTTATTCTAATTGGTATGTTATGTTACAATTATGCATAACATAACAAAATTCATATCATCATATATGAGTTATACGTATAGTTCATATACTCATTTTCTTATGATATGATGTGTTTTGAAATATGTCAGGATTCTAGATCCCGTTGTGTTTGGGAAATATCCGGAAGAAATGGTGAATATACTTGGATCAGATTTACCGCAATTTTCGAGCAGTGAAATGAATAACCTGAAGAACTATAAATCAGATTTTTTGGGTATTAATCACTATACAAGTTACTTCATCCAAGATTGTATGATTACTGCTTGTAATTCTGGAGAGGGAGCTTCTAAAAGTGAAGGTTTCGCCCTCAAACTAGATCGAAAAGGCAATGTCTCAATCGGGGAACTTGTAAGTACATATGTTTATGCTGGATTCCTTAATTAGTATCTTATAGTGTTTTCTAACATAATTTTTTGAAATGTTTGGTTTCTTTGCACATAAATAGACCGACGTAAATTGGCAACATATTGATCCTGATGGATTCAAAAAGATGTTGCATTACCTAAAAATTAGGTACCACAACATACCAATGTACATCACCGAAAATGGTACATTCACCTAACTTTTCTTTAGGTTACATCATCCAATTTACTTAAACATGGAGTTGAACAAATCATTAACGACGGCTTTACAGGTTTTGGTCAGTTGCAGAAACCCGAGACAACGGTTGAAGAACTTCTGCATGATACAAAAAGGATACATTACTTGAGTGGATACTTGGATGCTTTGAAAGCAGCAATGAGGTATATATGTGAATTATGTATTTAGTTACGATACGAACCAATTCACATATTTTGAATCTCATCTTAATGTAACTTATTTGCAAACTCTTATGTAGGGATGGAGCAAATGTGAAGGGATATTTCGAATGGTCACTGTTAGATAACTACGAATGGTTGTACGGATACAAGGTTCGGTTTGGTCTATTCCACGTTGATTACACAACTCTGAAAAGGACACCAAAGCAATCAGCTTCGTGGTACAAGAACTTCATCGAACAGCACGTGAATATAGAAAATCAAATAGATAAATAAATAAATTGTAAATTCATTAATTATGATTGATTAGTTAATGTTCGTAAACAAAGGAAGTCAAATTAAAGTAGGAAGGTTTGATTAAAAATCTTCTCATTGTTGTTTTATTTTTGATTGTGTATGATCTTATGCATAATTGTTTTGCTAATCTTGCAAAAGAATTTTAATACGAAGATTAGTGTTTATGATAATTTGGGTACGTACACATCTCTATTAAGATTATTTTATGGAAAGAATAATTGTTTTTTTTCTTTTTGAAAACAGGCTTGGAAATAATAATTGTTGTTAGAATAAATTTCAGACTCCCCCAAACTTTTAACATTAAATTTGAAAATTGGATATTTGTTTCAAATATTTGTTTTAAGAACCACCATATATATATGATATATTGATGCAAACATATCAAAGTGCGATAAAATTAAAAAAAAAAATTATTATAGTAGAAACTTAATATTCTTACATGACACGTAATTAGTTTCCACGAAAAAAAATTTCAGAGTGATAAATACTGAAATGTTGGTTTAACCCATAGGTTCAAAGTTTTTTTTTTTTTGTTTTTTTTGGTTGCTAAACTGATAGATTCAAAGTTCAAACATATGAAACTATAGTTACTACTATATAGTAGAAACTTAATATAATATCATGACATTTGAAACGAAACCCAATTCTACATGGGCCTGGTTTGGTTTTACATGATGGTGCACAAGCCTTTGGCTCTTCTTCTTGTTGCTTCTATGGCTCTTAATCTTCTTCTCATCTTTATCTTTAAGTTTCTTTTGTGCCAGATTAGTTAAAGCTGCGACTCTAACAAGATAAGATCATCATGGGGTTTTTTTTTTTTTTTTTTTTTATAAGGACCATCAGATTTATGTTTTACTAACGTAACACAACTTAATGTGTTACAAAAATAAATATTTTTAGTTACAAATATTGATCATAAAATTAAAATCTTGAGGATGAGGAATTTGATACTTTCATTAATGAGGAAAACCATATGGGGAAGAAAAGTTGATTCTTTATTAATTGCGTGAAACGAACATAATTTACAACTACAGTATAAAGAAAAGAACAAAAATCTACTTTGCTTTTGCGTGAAGGATATAAGAATTAGATAGATGTAGAAGATGACTTATTTATATATAGATGTAGAAGATGACTTATTTATATTTTGTAGATATATACTAAAGAAATATCAGAATTCAGAAGCATCCATGGATTCAATCGGTGAATTTCACAAGGTTGAAGAGGATGGTAAACTTATTTTGGTATATCACCAGTCCTTACCACAAACACAAAACCTAATCAAACACCCTTACCATCCCGAGCATTCTCTCCAATGTTGCTTTCTTTTTGTAATTTCTTCCAATATTTATTACTGTTTAAGTTGTGGACAGGAAGCAAAAGATCTGGTATATTATTGTAACATATGTAAAGTTATAATGCATACAGACTGTGCGATGAAGCCGATACCCTTCATTGTAGACCAACCAAAAAGCCATGACCACCCCCTCACTCTTTTCCCTAGGCAAGCTTCATTGACTTGCAACGTTTGCGGTTTATTAAGAAAACATTGTCCCACCTACATTTGCATTGAATGCACCTTTGTTGCTCACAACGATTGTATATATGCACCACACGTTATCATGATATCACGCCACCAGCATCGTATCGCTTACACTCCTTCTCTTCGGTTAAAGAATAGGTCTTGTGGAGTTTGTCGTCAAAGGATCGATTGCGATTATGGTGCATATACTTGTGATAAGTGTAGTAATTATGCTGTCCATTCAAGATGTGCTCTAGGAAAGGATGTTTGGGATGGAACAGATCTCAAAGGTGTTCCAGAAAAAGATGTTACAATAGAAGATGTCAGTCTTTTGAGATGATATCTGTTGGAGTTATACTTCATTTTCTTCATGAACATCATCTCCAACTCGATTTAAGCATAATTTATGATGAAAATAAGCTTTGTCGAGGGTGTGTCCTTCCTATCTTTGAAGGTAGATACTATTCTTGTAGGGAGTGTGAGTTCTTCCTCCATGAAACATGTGCAAAAGCTGATCGGATAGTAACACATGCATTACATCCTCATCCACTTACATTAAAGATTGATTGTGGATATCCTACAGGTTTCTTCTTCTGTAATGCTTGTTACCGTTTCTCTGGTGGTTTTGTCTATCAATGTCCGATAAAGGAATGCAATTTCGATCTTGACATACGGTGTGCTTCAATTTCTGAGCCGTATGATTACAAAAGACATGAACACCCATTGTTCCTAGCTTTAGATCCAAAAGAAAAACCTTTATGTCACATATGCAAAAAATCATGTTACAAGCAATTGAATTGCATAGAATGTGATTTTATTGTATGCATGGAGTGTGCTACCTTACCATACGAAGCAAGGTATAAAAATGACAAACACTTTCTCAAAGTTTTGTGTGGAGAAGAAGTATGTGATAAAGATTGGTGCGAAGTATGCGAATGTAATTTAAAAGATACAAAGACAAATGTGTTCTATTGGTGCAATGACTGTTGCACTACTTTACATATTGAATGTTTATTGGGTAAAGACCCATATATAAAGCCTGGTCAATTCTTAAAAGTATATGAGAAGGAGGTTCAAATATATAAAACCTATGTTTCTCGACCATTATGCGATAATTGCAAAGAGCCTTGTCAAGGCAAACTATTAAAGAGAGACAACCTTACAGAATGTTCTGTGAATTGCGTCGCTAAGATATTTGAGGGGGTCCATATTGGGAGAAGGAGAACCAGAGGTAAACCGAGATCGACAGTTGAGAAGATAAAATGAAGTTATGGAAATAAGAAGATATTATTCTGGAAGATATGTGATAAATGTCAATATTAAGTTTATGAAGATTAACATTATCTCTAGTTATATTATTTACATTTATGTTTATTATAATCTCTATGTAAGAGAATGTAAGTTGTAACATTTCATTTACGAGAGTCTAATATAATTCTTCTTTTGTAAATATATCTGTATATAGTGTATGTTGTACTTATTTGTTGATAATTAATGGCGAACAGATTCTCGATTAAAGATGGAAGAGAAAGAAATAATTTCGATATTTATCTGCTTATAGTTTTCTATGAAATATATATATATATATATGTCAAAATCAGACGGAAAAGGCATGTATATGTTTTACTCTGAGACAAAATAATACATTAAAATCCATTTTAACCAAAATACAACAAAATCAATTTCATATTAAATAACATTGGATTGTGTTGTACTTTATCAAATACACAACTGAATTACAGCATATTTCACTTTGACTTTAAAATACATCTAACTCCATTAAAATACACTATTCAATAACATCTCCTAAAAGGAGACGTGACTTATAAAAATATAGATTTTGGAATCGATAAGGTTTTAGTTTAAATTAGTAATATTTTTTGCTAATATATACATAGTGTGCATATACACAGAAAAGACAACACCAAAAGTCAGAAAGGCAAACATAAACACACGAGAGAGCCAGACAATATGGGGAATTTAGCCATTTTCGTATTTGTCATCCTAGTACAAATTAGCTTAATGCATAATGTATATTGTTCATGTCTTAATCAAAGTTCTATAGAGAATGTTTTACAAGGTTCATCTCCATTTCCTTCTGATTTCCTCTTTGGCACAGCTTCTTCTGCTTATCAGGTACAATTCCATTTATTTTCTTTCTCTTTTATATCTTTTGTATTCATTAGTTCATTTTATTACAAAGCTATACTGATTTTTGGTTACTTTTTAATTTGGATGCATTTGATGTAAATAGTATGAAGGTGCCTTTCTTTCAGAAGGAAAAGGATTGAACAATTGGGACATATTTACCCATGAATATCCTGGTATGTGTTGCTTTTTTTGGTTTGATTCGGTTCAGTATTGGTTAAGATTGTTTAGTTTTGAGAAAAATCATGAACAAATGCAAAATTTAAACTACTCTAAACTGATTTGTCCTGGCATTTGGAATATTAGCTTCATCAATGTTATTTCCATTTTCAAGCAAGATAATAACAATGTTTTATTATATTTGATATTCGAGTTTTGTTTATTACACTATAATATTTAATTTTATATATGTGCCCAGAGTTGGTCATATCCGATCAGGTCCTCAGGAGAACTAGTCTTCATGTATTGTTGTTATCAATTATAATATTTCACTAAATATTATAAAAGTTATTTACTTATTACAATTTGTAATTTACAAAGAGTTATATTTATATAGTCTGTTGCCAAAAAAAAAAAAATATTTCAGGTAAAATACGTGATGAGAACAATGGAGACATGGCTGTGGATCAATATCATCGATTTATGGTCAAACAACTTTATAAATAATAAATTTTTGTTTATACTTTTCTACATAGAAAACGTGATTAATTAGTTTTATATTTGTCTATACTGTGGTTACAGGAGGACATCGACTTAATGACTTCGCTTGGGGTCAATAGTTACAGATTTTCAATTTCTTGGTCTAGAGTCTTACCGAGTAAGAAGTTACTATATATTATTTCTTTAATATCATGATCAAATGATTATAATTACCAAACTGGTTATAATTATATACTACAATTGGTAACAAAAATGAAAATAATAACAGAAAAGCATGTTCAAAATATACTTAGGTAAGATTTTACTTGTGTGACAACAGGAGGAAGATTCGGAAGTATTAATTATTCGGGAATAACGTATTATAACAGATTAATCGACGCTCTCATTAGTAGAGGTAATAAAAGTGTTAATTCATAATTTATATTTGAACAAATATACATATGTATTCTGAAGATTAACTAACTGGTAAATGTATATCTAGGGATCAAACCATTTGTCACGTTGAACCATTTTGACTACCCTCAAGAACTCGAAAACCGGTTTCAAAGTTGGCTAAGCCCCGAGATGCAGTGAGTGGTTAAACCTGATTAAAATTAGAATCTCTTAAATCAATCTATAATTCTGTCTTTCGAATTTTGCAGGAAAGAGTTCATGTACTTGGCTGATACATGTTTTAAACATTTTGGTGACCGAGTTAAACTCTGGATCACATTAAACGAACCAAACCAACAAATAACTTCGAGCTATCTAAAAGGC